TCTTCATTCTCATTTGGTAAACAATCTTTTAGTAAAATTGTCTTATAAAGTTTGTGATTAATTATGATATTTTCAGCTCCATCCTTTGGCCTCTGCCATTAGAGAGTATAATTGTGTATTTGTTATCAGGAGTGCCCCTAAAATGATTCCTGCTGCCCTCAGAGAAAATAATAACTTGCTTTGCCACAGAATGTTCTTGGGTATCTACCATAATTTATGCCTTCCACAAGAGCTGTGGTAGTGCAGTGATTAGAATGCAGTACTGCAAGCTACTTCTGCTGACTGCTGTTTGCCAGCAATTTGGGAGTTCGAATCTCAGACAGGCTCAAGGTTGACTCAACCTTCCATCAATCTGAGATGGGTAAAATGAGGACCCAGATTGTTGACTCTGTAAACTGCTTAGAGAGGGCTGTGAAGCAATATAGAAATCTAAGTGCTATTGCTATTACTGGGTTCTTTTCAGTTCCATCCTTTGGCCTTTGCCATTAGAGTGTATAATTGTGTATTTGTTATCAGGAGCACCCCTAAAATGATTCCTGCTACCCTCAGAGAAAATAATAACTTGCTTGGCCACAGAATGTTCTTGGGTATCTAATTTATGCCGCCTTCTTTCTCATCAATCTCCAAAATGAGACTCATGGCATGTATATCAGAGATTCTGTAAAGTAATGTGAGAGAAACAGTAAAGATTGTACAGGTAGTCCTCAACTTATGACTACAATGGAGACCAGAACTTCAGTTGCTAAGGAAGGTGGTCATTAAGTAAGTTGTGCCCAATTTTACGACCTTTTTCGCTGCAGTCATGAAGTGAATCATCATGATTGCTAAATGAATCCAGTTTCACCCATTTACTTGTTAGCAGGGGTGGGTTCTACTTACCTTTACTACCAGTTCATAATGGGGCCGCGCGCACACACAAGCTCTTCTGTGCATGTGCAGAAGCGTTCTGATGACGTTAGGGTTGGTGGGCAGAGCCTCCCTCTGGTTTTACTACCGGTTCTATAGAACCGGTCCGAACCGGGGGCAACCCACCACTGCTTGTTAGAAGCCGACTGGGAAGGTCGTAGATGCCAATCATGTGACCCTGGGATGCTGCAAGTATTGTAAATACATGCCAGTTGTCAAGCACCTGGAATTTTGATCACATGACTGGGGGGATGCTGCAACAGTCATAAGTAACTTTTTTCAATGCCATCGCAACTTTGAATGGTTGCTAAACAAAGTGTCGTAAGTTAAGGACTACCTGTATTTAATTTTCAGTGTAAATCAGGGTATAAAGCTAAATCATATGACTTAGAAAATGGTTTTGTTTCAAAGCATACTTGAAATGCTAAATATCTAATCTCTGCTCAGTGGAAAATTTAGGAAAAGAAATGGAGTCCCATTAGCAGAAGAGTGCAAAGCTGGCAGTTCGGAAGAGGAAGGATTTGTTTCTGCTCACAGTATGTTAATTCTTTTGCAGTAAATAATTATAATACTAACTACTTATTTTTAAAGTGTCCAAGACAAAAGTATGTGTATCTTTATTTTTCAGGAAATGATTGGGTCTAATAATCCAGTATAAACCTTACAGTAGTTTAAATTATAATCTGAGAACTAAATTATCTGTTTAAGAATTGTCCTAGCAACAAACTCACTAAGTGATTTGATTAACAGTTATGATGTTGTCAACCTTATTTCAACATCTTATGATGAAAAAAAAAATAGACCACCAAAATATTTGTAGAATTATGGAAATAAAATAGGAAGGCAATTTGAACTTTATAGATATAATTGTATAAATTATGTATATTAACCCTATTAAAGTTCACTCATTCTGAATTTTCTTTATAAAAACTTCAATGATGAGCACATAGGACATATTTCATGTTACCAGGATTTCCCCCCAGAATTCAAAACAGCTAAAAATAGTCAACAAAACACAAAACAAAACAAAACAAAAAACAAAACAAACAAAACAAAACAAAACACCATTGGTCTAGTAGTACAAGTTAGAAGAAATTTGTAAGACATGTTTTCAGCAAATTTAAATTACGAAAATATATTACTTCACTTAACTGCTCTTTGCTTTCAAGGAAATAAGTGTTGTGCTTCCTGCAAGACTAGGAAAACACCATTGTGGAGAGATGCTGAAGATGGGACCCCTCTCTGTAATGCCTGTGGCATTAGGTATTTAGCATCCTATGGTATTATAGTTCAACAATGTCGTTTGATAAGGTCTAGGACCGTGATGATGAACCTATGGCACGCGTGCCACAGGTGGCACACAGAGCCAGATCTGTGGGCACACGAGCATTGCCCTAGCTCAGTTCCAGTGTGTGTGTGCGTGCCAGTCAGCTGATTTTTGGGCCTTCCGGGCTCACCGGAAGTTGGGAAACAGGCCATTTCTGGCCTCCGGAGGGCCTCCAGGAGGGTGGGGGAGGCCATTTTCGCCCTCCCCAGGCTCTAAGAAAGCCTCTGGAGCCTGGGGAGGGTGAGAAATGGGCCTTTTGGGCCCACCGGCAACCTTTATGCTGTCGCGTGCCAAAAGCGGGGGGAGCACGCGCATGCACACGGGGAGGGGCGCAGGGGGCATTGAATAATAGGTAGGCACACATGCGATCCTCCTGTGCTCCCCCGCTTTTGGCACGCAACAGCAAAAACGTTAGCCATCACTGGTCTAGGATTTACTACAGAACAGGCCAAGCACTGAACTGCTTGTGATTTATCTATTAAAGGTCAAAAACATAGAAAGGAAAAAGGTGATTTGAACTATGACTAAGATTATGCTCTGGAAATATGTTGGAAAATAGTTCCAATGATCCCTAATATCTATTGCAGGGGTGAAATCCTACTGGTTCGGACCAGTTCGGGCAAACCACTAGGGATTATGGGCATCAGTTCGCCAAACCAGGAGTAATTACCCCTTGGCCCCTCCCACACCCGGCCGATTGCCGTTCACCTCTTCCGGCTGCTCGATATTCTACAGAATTCAATGTTAAATGCAGCAGAGAGAATGCTAACTTTTCTCCCTCCATTCACAATGGAGCTGCTGCAGCCTGTCCCTTTTAAGGTAGTTCCCCAGGTGGGAGGGGGATGGGTGGGTAGCAGCTGGAATGGAGCCATTTTTGTGAAAGGCAGGAAAATGGGGAAGGGGATTTTCCTGTCTGTCATCCATTCCTCAATCTCAGCAGATTTAGGGAAGGATGGTAGGCAGGAATATTCCCTTCCCCATTTTCCTGCCATTCGCGACAAGGAGTGGCTGGGAGGGGAAGGGCTGTGAGGAGCCCTTTGATGTGAGTGATATCGAATTGGCCATGCCCACCCAGTCACATGACCTCTCCCCAACAAATCACGCCCACAGAACCGGTAGGGGAATTTTTTAAATTTCACCCCAATCTATTGGCTCTATTCTTTTTTTTTTTTTATTGCAAAAGTTTTACAATTACATTTTCACCCCTTTTCTCCCCCACCCCCCCAAACTTCCCAACCTCCCTAGCCCTCCCTAACCCTCCCCTCCCCCCAGACTTCCCTATAATATACTCATACTCATAAAGAACCCTAATATAACACTTATATATAAACTTGAACCCCTCCCTCCCCTGTATAATTTTTCTCTTTACCTCATTGCTCTATTCTTCATAGGAAGTATTTTCCTTATATCCCACAAATATTTCAAGACAAGATATCTCCATTTTGTTTCATGCAAATGGGAGATACAGCAACATGGGAAGATGCTTGGTACAGCTTACAAAATTCAGCTCAGTCAGTGAGCACAGATACGGAATGACCAATGACATTTTTATTAAACTTATTAATAAAGTTTAAACTTTATTATTAAATTTCTTCTCCCCCTCCCCCCCTCCAGGTACAAAAAGTACAGAATAAGATGTTTTCACTGCTGGAGTATTCCAAAGCATGGTGGGAAACCTTACCCACATTGTTCCAACTGTGGAGGAAAGTTGGGTGTGGTAACTGCCCAGCAGAAACCTGGAAAAAGGTAAAAAGGCTGGGGAGAAAGAAAGCTTTGGTTGTTTAGAATAGCTTGTGATTGTCCTGAACATCTGCTGCTCACTTGAAGTTGATTTATGAAATCATCCATAAGAAATGTGGGCTGTATTCAGTGGTGGGTTGCCCCCGGTTCGGACCGGTTCAGAAGAACTGGTAGTAAAACCGGCGGGAGGCTCCGCCCACTAACCCGGACGTCGTCATAGGTGATCTGCGCATGCGCAGAAGCGGGTGCGATGCGAACCGGTAGTAAAGGTAAGTAAAACCCACCCCTGGCTGTATTACAACATTTGGTTTAGGTTCTGATCTGATTATTTGAAAAACAGACCAGATCTTCTAGATTAATAACAGGCCACTTGATAAGTAAGCTGTGCCTGTAAGTGAGTTCTAATGCCAAGGTTACCAGTTTTTCATTAAAAGCAATAACATTCATTTCTAGCCTAGTCAATGAAGTAAACTGCAAATTGTGTGATCACTATTCAGCTAAAATAAAAATCTAAGTAAAAAAGATGTGCTTCTAATTTTCAGTGTCCCAACTAGTTAATTCACAATTTTAGCAATTGGAAAACAAAGTTATTAATTCCCTTTTAAAACTCTTTTCCATTGGAAAGAGAGTGGTGACACTTTTTTTTTTTAAAAAAAAACATGCTTATGGTATTGTAATTGAATTGTATTTCTGTGTAAAAAAATAACCCTAACCCTCCATCCTGCAAAAATTAAGAACAGAAATAGTATTTTCTAATATGAGCATTTCTTTTAAAAATTAGCAATTTTCAATATTCAAATGTTATTCTGCTATGTTGAGAGATAAATTATGAATTGTAGTGGATTTGTCTAAAGATAAATCCATTTTAGATTATAGTGTGTCTTTGTTTGTGTTATGCTAACTCTCCAGAGTAATCCAGTTTTGCTATCGCATGAGGATGAATAAAAAGAAATATATTTGAATCCCCTGCAGTCCAATGTTGCTAATTTTTTAAAAAGGAAAATGAAGTGAGAGACGAGATCAAAGCTGATTTTCATAGCAATACAATGTATTAAGAGCTGGAGGTAACTTTTACATATGAATGCAAAATGTCAAACCCAGTTGAACATTTTTCTTTTGGATTTCACCCCTGGATAACTTTGGCTCTTTTCTTTCTGTGCTGAGAGAGAATTATATGTCCAGAAACCAGCCTTTTCCCCCCTAGATCCACTGAAAGCTAAATTTGCTTAGCTAGATAGAGTAACATTACAAGCTGAAGGAAGTCAGAGAAAAATTTGCTTGATCTAGTGATCCTTATATTTTTCCTCCACGCTAGTGCCAGAACAGCTCTGTCTCATCTAGACTGTGTATTGCTTTGTTTTTTCTTCTTTCCCTGCATGCTTGATAGCAGATCCTGCTTTAGGAATTGAGGATTTATGTCCTTGAGGATTTTAATCACAAGTGGAAATATATTATATGGAGCCCAGCTTTGCCTATTGCAAAGGAAGAGAGATCAGTTTGTCAAAATCAGCCCTGTCTAGTTCGATATGTGCTCAGTCAACCAGAAATCTCAGGAATTGTAGACCTGTCAGCCTTCCTTTAAAATAAATAAATAAATGAGTCCCTAGCTCATTTATTGAGGAACAAATATGAAGTTCCCAAATGTGACTGATAAGTTCAGTAGCCTGAAAGTAAAGTGAATTCCAAACTCTGATAAGGTGTATTCCTATATCCCAGTTCATTGTCAAGGTCCTTTCTCACAGTTCCCTCTGTCACACTCAGTCTTGAAACTCCTCCCAATATTTTCAAGTTGAAAGGTAGAACAATAGCTTGGTAGTAAAATGTCTGCTTTATAGGAACACCACATTATACATTCCTAGGCAATTCCTTTCTTCACCGGAGGTCCCAGCACAAATGTTGTCTGTGTGTGAACTTGCATGAACAGGGAACATTAAAAACCAATGGCTGTAATAATTAAAACATTGAAATGCTACTGGGAAGACTCAGGTTTTCAAGTCATGGAAGCTCACTGGGTGAATTTGTGTCAGCCACGGTCCCTCACCCCAATCTACCTTATAGGTTCTCCATAGTGTGGAAAAAGAAGAAGAGGGTTTGGGAATTTGGGAAGTAAATTTGGGGAGTAAATCCCAGTTTGGGGTTTGAAATAAATAATTAAATAATGAACCAGAAAATACCCCTAAGGGCTGAACCTTTTGAAGGATGTTGCCGCTTCAATACAGAAAAGAGGAGTGCTTTGCTTGTCACATTATATTTCTTGAAGTAATAGTCTTAGGTGATTTCCACAGCCCTAACCTAAATGGTATTAGTACATTATTAATAGCCTAAACAGTGTAAATAGTATTAATAGATTATTTTTATTGTACTTTGAATAATAAACATAAAATTGAGAATGTGGTTATGCCTTAATCATACATCATATTATAAATTTAAGGGATTCTTTCTTTCTGTTTTGTAGATGTGGCAATTTTGTAAAAATTTGCAATTAGCTGGAGAGGAAAATTTCTTTGAGGAACTTGAACTACTTGCCTGACAGCCTTGGATGGATAACTAGATGGATCATTATTAGATATACTAATCACATTTCCATAGATTTTTTATTTTGCCTTTGCATTTTGATTCTTCCTGGATATTACTCTGATATGAAATTGCAGATATATTGTATGTTGAACATTTAATTTAAATGAATGTGTAAGAAGGTAGAAAAAAAAGCATGGAATATTTATGAAATAGAGGTGTTTTACCTGAAATTTCAACAATCCACACAGCTGAGGAAAAAATGCTGAAATACTTCCAAGTAATTATTCTTCCTAATCACATGGATATTCCTTTAAGGTATTTTGGGTTAATATCAATACCTCACTCATAACATTTGGGGTTGAAGTTATATTAATGGCAGTGCTATTTAATACTTTTTAGAGAGAAATTACAAAAAGCTGCAAAACAGCTTTTTCATGGGTTACTTTTGGACAAGTAAGAGAGGGATCTTATTTAAAATATTTAATAATTAGGCTACCATCTTCTAAGATTTAAAAAAAAAAACATAGTCCCATGTGATTAAGGGACATTTCTCCTGATAATATTTGTTAATTTCACAATAAATAATTACTATAAAGGCACAAAGTGTATGCGACAAAGTATTTGTATATTTATAGTAAACTGGCATGTATTATTCAGTATGCAGCAACATGATAGTTTCTTAATGATTCAAAAGGCATTCACTCTTCAGGAAGAATTGTGTTTTGTGATATTGTGCAGGATTCTTTTTGAAGTATATTTGTTTTTGTAAATAGCATTTATATTAGAAGTTTGAGATTGCTATATTCTCTATAGAGCAGTATTAAAATGAAAAACAACAGATCTGTATCATGAAATAATCAAACTAAATACCTTGATTTTTTTTGTAATTAACTAAAATTCTGCAATTTACTATAATTCAAAGTTTTGTTGAAAGTAACATATTAATGGTTATTTCACCACTAAATAGCTGCCAAACAACTGCAATAAATATTATTTATTGTTACACACTACAGAACACTGTTTGATTAATTCTTGCAAAGACTGGGAAGAGGGAAGGGGAGGGGAAATACCACTAAACCTAGTGGTATAGTGGTGAATACTTAAAGATTCAGAGGTCAGATGCTAGAACAGGAATTCATTTTTTGAGTTGAGACTTGCATACAATTCCAATGAAATATAAATTGGTTTATTTGGTACTGGATGGCAATGCATTTCACTTTCCACCACATTAGGGAAAAACTTGTCAATAAGACTAAATTACCTACAAATCCCTTTACTTTATTGATTATTAGTACGAGGCCAACATCATCATGTTTATCTCCAGAAGAAATAAAATGGGAGATCTATTTAGCATGACCATTGGCAGGACAATTTTATCACGAATCTGTCTTCTGACATAGCTATCTGTTTAAGATTGCTTCACCCATCTGCCCTATTGGAGGTGTTCCCTTATTCGGCATTCTTCTGGGGTACAATAGCGCTGTCTTCTTTCACTTATACAAGTCATCTATTGCTGCTATAAATATGAACTAATAAATATATGGACTTTTACTGAATTCCTTTACCAAGGAATTGTACTTCTAGAAAACCCCCTCAAATCAATTCATCTTTTGTTGATAACACAAATTGATTGTGTATTGAATTACAGGTAATCCTCAACTTACAATTATTTGTTTAGTGACCATTCAAAATTACAACTGAAAAAAACGATTTATGACCGTTTTTCATGCTTACAACCATTGCAGCATCCCCATAGTCATGTGGTCAAAATTCAGATGCTTGGAAACTGGCTTGTATTTATGACTTTTGCAGTGTCCCAGGATCATGTGATCACCTTTTGTGACAATCTGACAAGCAAAGTCAATGGGGAAGGCAAATTCACTTAACAACCATGTTACTATCTTAACAACTGCAGTGATTCAATTAACTGTGGCAAGAAAAATCATTAAATGGGCCCAAACTCACTGCCTTGTTTAGCAGCAGGAATTTTGGGCTCAATCATGGTCATAAGTTGAGGACTATCTGTATAAGGTCCCTGTTCATAAATTCCAGAACAATCCCACAGTCCCTGTGCTTTTGACTAGACAGCATACAAAATATTATCTTGCATGTGGTATGGAACATGCACTCTAGGGGTCTCTCAGTAGACCTCTTCCCATCTTTTGGGTTGACCTTCACCACCTTTTTTGACTTTCCTGTTTGATACTTAATCTTTAAGTGAAATGGCAATCTCCTTTATACTCTTGACTTGGATGGTTTATGCCCCCACCAGGGATTGCTGACATGAAATTCACCTATCCTAATATATCTGGTGTCTCTTGAGATTTATGCTGATGCTAAAGCAGATGCAGGCTACAAACATTTACTTCAATTTAATAAGTAGGTATCTAAAACTGTATGGTTCTGGTTTTTTTAATAGCTAGTCAAAGGAGGGATTTGTGCTCTTATTAACACTAGCTGTTGTACTTTAGTAGACCAACAAAAGTCCTTCTTGATGTTCAGGTTTTTCTACCACATTCTGCCAACTTTTATGCCCTTGCAGCGTGATGCTTCCTTCTCAAAAACATGGCAATTGCTCTCTTCCTAGCTACCTAGACCTGTCTTTGGGTCTATCATCACAGAACATCTGTTCTATGTTAATATTCAGTGGTGATTTGTATTGTTCGAATGGCCTGTGCCCTCCTACCCACCAAATTTTCTTTTCCCATTGTGCTGCAATACCACCACTCGCTGTTGTGGAGATAACAGCCATTGTGGCTAAGCCGGACTGCAAGTACAAAGAGACACAACCTCATGAAAAACTAAGGAGCCCTTAGATTGTATCTCTCTAAAGTTCAAAGGGGGTGGGGGGAGGGATGTTGGAAGCCATGGCTAGGAGGGCGTTTGCAAACCTTCGGATAGTGGACCAGTTGTGCCCATACTAGATCAGGAGGCCTTGCTCACGGTAACTCATGCTTCTTAATTTCCAGGTTAGACTACTGTATCACACTCTACATGGGACTGCCCTTGAAGATCATTTGGAAACTCCAACTGGTGCAGAAAGCAGCTGTGTGGGTACCAGATATACAGCATACATAACACCATTCCTGTGTGAGCTTCACTGGTTACCAGTGTGTTTCTGGATGCAATTCAAGATGCTGGTGGTTGCCTATAAAGCCCTACATGGTTTGGGGCTGGAGTTCCTGAAGGGATCACCTTTTTTTCCAAGAGTCTGTATTGGTCCAACTAGATCAAGCAGAATGGGCATGTAGACTTGATCTCTCTCTCTCTCTCTCTCTCTCTCTCCCTGCCCCCCTCTCTCTGATATAGTTTTCAACAATTCAGTTATCATCTTAGTTACATTAAAATGGAAGATTACATTCTTTTACACTGACTTGCCCTCTCAGTAATTCTCTGCATATCAGTTCATAATTGCATTTATTCCATGTTCTAGTAAGATTAATTCCCTCCATATTTCTTTTTAAAGTATAGCCTTTGTCTTGTCTTAAAAACATTACATCCACTCCAAATATGAAAACTTATAGTCCAAAGTTGATGTCTCCCACCTTGGCAAGGCACCACTCAGCTAGGGAGAGAAGAATGAATCTGTAGAATTTTACTGCCAGAATTAACATCCATGTCCCAGGACAGAAGAGCAGTCAGTTCCTCCGATACAACATTTTCAAAAGGCAATGAACTCATTTCATATTTTCAACTGCAGAAAGTACTTTAAAAGGATATCTACAAAAATGGAAGAGATGAAGGCTGCTTTCAGGCTTTGGTCTGGGAAAATGCCATGTATGTGCTAGGCTGGGCCAGAACCCGACACACTAAAACTGGCTGTCCATGCTCAACCATGGGACAGTCAATTGGCTGTTAACACACTGCAGAGTGAATTAGAAAATTATACGATCCCAAAACCCTTCCTTCAAAAGCCGAGATAGTGGAAGATATGAGTGGGTGGTATAGAAAACGGTTGTTCTTTCATTTACCTTCCTTGGACCTTATCTTGGGAGTACCTGCCTGAGATTGTTCAGGTCCTGGTGAGCTGTATGCCATAGATGTCAATATCACAAGGCCTCTCCCGATTTAGGAAAGTGGCTTCAGTAGAATTCTCTGCATCACGGACATTGTATTCCCCCTTTTTACAGGCTGTAGATTTGAGGTAATAAATGACCCCAGCCATTCCTCCCAGGACCAACATGGTGGCACCAGCAATTGCCACAATGACAATAATATATAGCCAGTGATCTGCAAAAGAGGAAGCATATTATTAGTTAGCAGCCTTTTGGCTTACAAAAAGAATTCTTAAGTAGTGACCACTTGTTATAAAACTAACCTGACCTGCTGAAAAATATACAAGCCCACGTGGGCAGGCTTCAACTTGCGCCTTTAAAAATTGCACATGGTCTTTTACTGAGAATAAAGCCATTGATAACCCTTCCTTCCTTTGAAAATTTGCTTTATATGGGCTGTTTCATCTGAAATGTTAAACGACTTAGCTGTTTCTCTTTTGTCCCTCTGAGTTAGAAATGTTATCTATGGTTTAGCTATTTTGAAAGTTCATTCTCTGTTGTTGGTTGGGGAATTCTGGGATTTGAAGTCCACAGGTTTTTAATTTGCCAAGGTTGGACACCCCTGAATTAGATGTTATATGGCACATGGATATAAGAGTCTCAGTATACTTTGCTTTTTTTTTTTTTTTTTTTACAGAAAACCAACCAAGGAGTTTGTAGACAGAAGCATTAGCACAGTGGTGGTGAGTTTACATAATTAGTACTCTCCCTTTTAGTTGCTTTATCTTCCTATCTGAATCTTAACTGTGCTTTATTTCTTTATACTAAGCATATGCCCAACTTTCTTACTAAATCTTATTTCACACTTAACTCCTGATAATGGGTTCTTGTTCTTAGGAGGGAAAAGGAGAGCTTGTAAGCTGTCCCAGTCCTGCTGTTGTCATCTTTACAAATAAAATGTCATTGCTAATGGCATTTTTCAAAGCTTGTGTAGCATCCGGTCTTACCTTCCACCTGGATTTCTACCTGGCTGTGCTGCTGTCCATGCTTGTTGCTTGCTGTGCACTCATACACACCATTGTTCTGTCCATCTGCATGGACAATTAACACTGTGCTGTTGTTACCAATAAAGATGATGTTGGAGGCATGGGGCAACCTCCAGGTGTAGCTGGCAGCTGGGGACCCATCTGCCTGGCAGGTAATGGTGATGTTTTCTCCCCTCCTAATGGGTAAAGAACCACTGACAGATAGTATGGCAGTAGCAGGCCTGTCTGGAAACAAAAATGGTGGGTGTTCAGTTCATCCAAGAAAAGGCATTCGTTTTTAGGTTTTAGGTTTTAGGTTTTATTAAATTTGTATACCGCCCTACTCCCGAAGGACTCAGGGCGGTGAACAGGCACAAGATAAAATACAGAAATACAAAAGTTAAAACAATTTAAAACCAAATTAAATAATATTGGCCCACGACAATTAAAATCCCAATAAATTTAAAACCAATTAAAATTTCAATTTAAAATTTAAAAAAGGGGAGAGTTCTCTGTCTTCTCCAGCTATCTTAGTCTCTTGACTAAGTCTTGGGTAGGCTATACACATTGTTAAACAAACAAACAAACAAATAAATAAATAGCATTGCAATGCTTTTAGACAAGTTAATATTGAGATTTGCAAAGCATCCAGCTGTAGGGGCTACTGGATCTGGGATGCAAAAATCAGATGAACATCCAATGACCACTAGATGGAGTTTTGACCACAGGCATCATACACAGCTAAAATGTAGCACAATTGCTTGTTTCAGAAAGAAAGAGAAGGTTAAGGCTCTTTGATCTAGGCTGTAAACATTCAGACCTGGCAGCATAGAGATATCAAAACTTCTCTGCTTGCATCTAGTGATTGTTTGGAGTTTTGCAGCTTATATCTGTGATCTCAGAATACCCTCCTAATCCTTCTTCCTCATTAATATTACATATAAAGAGTGATGAATCTATAGGAATGTTTTCTGTGGGGTTTAGAATACAGAATTGGTTGGAAGGGATGCTGGAACTCTTCTAGTCTAACCCACTGCCCAGGCAGGAAACCTGAACTGGGATTTATATAAAACATTCCTTACTTTGAACCAACTTTAAAACAGAATGATTGCTTGTGCCACCAAGGAATAATGTCTTAATAATATTATTTTTTAAAGCCTCTTTTCCCAACATAACTTTAAGAATAAAACTAAGGCCAGATTTGGGCTACAGAATTCTGGATGCCAACTGAGATACAAAAAGCTAGTTCTTTGCTGTCATCCATTCAGGTTTCTGAAGCCCAGGCTTTGAATCAAGGTGCTAGGATTCCAGCACTGAAAAAGAAAACCCTCACACAGGGCTGGAAAAAAGGGAAGCAAAATTGTGATTGACTAACTGATTGATTGATTGATTGATTGGCTGCCATCATGTTCTTATTTTACTGATTTTAAATCAATTTCAAAGTAGCATCTAAGAATATTTAGCAGCATTTTGGCTTATAAAGTAGTTGAAACAGAACAGAGTCAGACATCTGCAGGAAAACAGTGAAGCTCAGCAAACATCAACACTGAAAAACTTTTCAAGTCAGATTATGGAGGAAAGGCTTTAAAGAAATAAATCAAACATTTTTTTTCCTGGGAGGGTGTTCTCTGAGATCACTGGGACTTAGGTTGTTTGGAAAATTACATTTTAAGATTTCAGATTTAGCCTGAAAATGCAAGATGACAGATAACAATCACTTTAAATGGCTATTATATAAGACCAAGTATAATAGAGACAACACATCTGAGTTATGTTGAATAAGCTTCTATTGCAATTTGAACCGACAACATCTGGATTACAAAGCAAGAGTTTTACTGATTTTACTATTGAAACATTGAACATAAAGGAAAGATCTAAAACATGAGAGCTCAATATTGGCTCAGCCGAAGAGGTGGTCTTTCCTCTACAAAGGAACCAATGAACTGCTGGCTTTAGGCTGTCTCTAATTCTCAGCCCTCTAGCCCAATGGACAGGAGCACTTCAGAAGGGGTGCAGTTTTGAACTGGAGCAGACCCAGGTTGTTTGCAGGTTGAGTAGAAGATTTATAGAAGAGAACCACATCCATTCCTGCCTTCCAGAAATGGTTGCCAACCAGTTATAATCACGGGGTAAGATATAAATCAGGTTCTGTTTCTAGTGGGCAAGCTTCCTGCTTTCTTTGTGGCACCTTAGTTACTCTCCATGAGAGGATAGCATTAGGACAGTCTCCTATTTGGATTTTCCTCACAAGAAGACATATTGGCAAATGAAAAGAAGAGTGCACAAGGAGGAGATTGATATTCATTGGGATGAGGTACTCTATAGAGGGGTAGGAAGAGAGATAATGAGCTTTCCTCACATATCCTTCAGTCACACAGTATTTGTCTTAGAAATATGTAGGTGCTCCTGGAATGTAGATAAGGGGGGGGGGGGAATACTCTTTCTAGAAGCTTGCACTGGGTGACAAGGGTTGCTCTTCCCCCACATCTACATCCAGCTTCCTCTCTCTTTTCCTGCAGTAATTGCTAGTATAATAATGGCCAACTAAAGGAATTTTACAAACTCTTGGAGATGAATAGAATTGGGAGTACCACCTCATCCCTCCTCAGGCACAGAACTTGTGGATGTTCACCATGAAGCCATGAATGAACTGATGACTCACATTCCACTTGCACATTCACCATCCATCTCTCTGTTCCATGGCCATTAGTGGCATTGCACTCATAGATGCCAGAGTCATTCCTGCTGACATTCTGCTCTCTGTAGAATTCTCCAGTCGTTCCCTCCTTGGCACACAAGACAAGTGGGGTGGGAATCCCATTTGCTTCACAGGCCAGAGACTGCAGAGTCCCTTCCAACCAGGTTTGATTGCTCGGGCAGCTCGATTCATCCATCTTGGGTTTGGCTGCAACAAATTGATGGACAAGAGTCTCCTGACATATATAAAATATGCATAGGCAAAAATATGCTTCACAGATGGCCACTTTGAACTTCAAACTAGAGGACTATAAATCTGTTACTAACATATTCCATTTCACAAGATGTCTCACGTTAAAAACAAATACAGTAAATTAAAGCTTCATCCTTCATCCTGATTCAGATGGGACAAATGATACTGGAAGAAACTATGAGGACTTGGGAAGAAAGGTGAAAGAACTTGGCTCAGTGGCTAAGACACTGAGCTTGTTGATCAGAAAGGTCAGCAGTTCTGCGGTTTGAATCCCTAGTACAGATCTCCTGCGTGAGCAGGGGGTTGGACTAGATGACCTCCAGGGTCCCTTCCAACTCTGTTACTGTTAAAAGCTGCCAGCAAATTCTCTTCACTTTAGTTTGCAAGAACCTTGAAATATGTAGGCCTGAACTATGGATTTTCAGTACTTCATGGACACTCATTAAATGCCATATCTGCAGGGACAAAAATATGACAGAAAGTAAAGGGTTTCATCCTTATTTTAGGATGAAATATATTAGGTACAGACAAAGTTAGATTCAGCTGATCAAAAAGGCATGTTTAAACCACTCCACACCCTGGTATAATGTTCCTATTGTACCTGACAAAGAATGAAGAAAGCCTGGATTTCCAAAGATACAGACTTAGCTAAATGACTCCTAACCTTTAGTGGAACTGCAGGGGTCCCTAGTGTGGACAAAAATAAAGTAAAAATAAATCTTCCTATCAGGTGAAAGTAAGAGATGGATAAACCGGTTGTATTTATAATCAACACTCACTTTCAACTGTAATCTTGACTGCCTTGGCTACACTGCCATGTCGGTTTGTTGCATTACACCAGAAGGTTCCATTGTTAGCTAGGATCCTTTGCCCTTGGCTGAGATCATATGATCTATTATCTTTGGTGCATATAATTTCGGGAGGTGGAAACCCATCAGCATTACAAAGAAAAGTTGGCAGTGCCTCTTCCACCAATGTCCAGTTGCTTGGACAGTTAGATTCATCCATTTCTGGCTTATCTGGAATATCAGGAAAGAGTATAATTTGAAAAGGTTAGGTCACAGGTTTTTAAAGTCTTAAAGCTAAATTAAAAATTCAGATCAAAAGTTATCAAGAAATCAACTCTTTTAATTCTCTTTAAATGTAGGATTCTGGCAAAGTTGTTTACATATCAAATCATGGTTTGAGGATGAATGGAAAATAAGTTAAGAAAAAACTGTCTCATTTAAAACTGCCTGTACTTGAACTATCACCTTTTCAGTACCTTAAAAAGAATGTTTTAAAATGGACGACAGTTCTGACAATGATGTAAATGAGAATTTCTTCAAGAAGCAGTTTTGAAATAGAGAAAATACCTTTTTGAGGAAAAATTACCACAGTTGAAGTTTCCAACTGGGGAAAAAGACCAGTAAAAGAGGAGAATGATAGGAAAGGTATGAGAACCCTCACTAATTCAAGATTCTAATCTGATCCATAAGGGTCCCCTCTCTTACAGCAAGAGTTAAAAACTAAGTGAGAGATAGTTATGAAAAATTTAAAAAATACAAGAAAAATTAATGAGCACCAGAATGGCACGACTTGTTTTGGATCACTTCTAAATGGCAGTCATTTAAAAAAAAATCTTGCCAGTGTACTCATCCCTGTTGGGCTGAAATCCATGTTTACTTACATTCCACCTGGATGCTCACAGCTCTAGAGATGGAACCATGTATATTTGTGGCTGTACAAAGATAACTTCCAGCATATTCTCTGGTGACGTTCTGGAGAATCCCAGGACTATAAGCCATTCCATCTTTAGTGCATTCAATAGTTGGTTCTGGGTTTCCCCAAGCAAAACAGGTGAACACGTGTGGGGTCCCTACTGTCAAAATCCAATTATGAGGACAACTGGAATCATCCATTTCAGGCTCATCTAGAAGATAAGAAAAATCCTGATTTTTCAATGAAATGTAGGAAAATATAGATCAACAATATACAAATGGTGCAGTAAGAGATGATGCTTGATAATTTCTATTGGAGAGGGAATTTTCCATGTCTTTGCAATTTCTGTTTTACAGACTCCAGATCATATGCTGAATACATATTGAATACATTGAATACATAGCCATAGATAAAAATACATTACGGAACTTTAGTTTTTCAGTATTAACCCACACAATTTGCATGCAATATTGAAATGGTATGTGGGAATGACCCTGGAAGACAAGGGGAAGAAATGCTGCCTAGGGAACAATCAGGTAAGAGGGAGGATAGCCTCACCTGTAAAACGGTCAGAGAAAGAAACTCAAAAAGGAACATCACTAACTTATCTAGTGGTAACAGGTGGCGGGTGATCGGTATTTTCAGACTTGCAAGATTCTGAACATAAAAGTGTTATAATAAAGTAATATTAGCTCATCTGGTCACATTTCCTGATTGCACTACTTGGAAAGGCTGACAAATTCACAAATTGCACTTACACTCCACTGTAACAGCAACTATCTTGGTAATTGACCCATGTACATTGGTAGCATTGCAGTAATAAATGCCAGCATGACTTTGCGTGATATTGTGCATCCTTCCAGCATTGTACACTTTGCCATCTTTTATGCAGAATACTTCTGGAATTGGAATACCATCAGCTTGGCAGCTGAGGTTCCACAGGTTTCCTTCTAGCCAAGTTTGATGACTTGGGCATTTGGACTCTTCCAGCTCAGGGCCATCTATAACAGAGAGAAGATGGAGAAGGTGCTTGGTGATAAGAACACAGGAACTTAAAAACAGTCCTTTTGGCATCAGGCCAAAAGCCCATCTAGTCCAGTATTCTGTGTTACAGTCCAGGGGCAAATGAATGCATTCAAGAATCTTACAAGCAGATGATGATGATGATGATGACATGAAAACTTTCTTCAATGGTTGTTTGCATCAACAGTGGAAAAGACCTGTGATTCAGTAAGTGGTATACAGCCACCAAACCAGAAGTATACAATCAATATCAATGGTGGGATTCAAATTTTTTTACTACCGGTTCTGTGAGCGTGGCTTGGTGGGCATGGTGTGGCTTGGTGGGCATCACTTGGTGGGCATGGCAGGGGAAGTTTACTGCAAAATCCCCATTTCCTCTGGATCAGATGGGGGCGGGGCCAGTCAAAGGTGGTATTTACCGGTTCTCCGAACTACTCAAAATTTCCGCTACCGGTTCTCCAGAACTGGTCAGAACCTGCTGAATACCACCTCTGGTCAATATGTTACCCAAAAATATTCTGATTCTTCATGAATTTATCTAGTCCCCTTTAAAAGCAACTTGTGGCCCTTGCCATATCTGGCCGATATAAGTTTTTTTAAAAAGAAGTGCTTCCTTTTACAGGCCCTGAATTTCCCTGCAATGAATTTTAATGGAGGTGAATGAGAGAAGGGAGAAACATTGGATGCTTTTTGACTTTACAATCTAGGAGTGTGTGGCTGGCCCAAAGTCCTCTCTTAGTCCAGCTCCTTAGACACTACCTCCCCTCACCCCCCCAAGTATATGTACATGCACATTGATACAGAAACATTACTTACATTCAACATGGATGGTGATTGTTCTAGTGCTGGAGCCGAGCTCATTTGTGGCCGTGCAGTTATAGATGCCAGCATGGCTCCGGTCAACCTGTGTCTTCTCTTCTACATCATAAGCAATGCCCTCTTTGAAGCAAGCCACCAAAGGCTTTGGATTCCCCTTAGCCAAGCAGTGGAGCATTTGTTGTGTTCTCTCTACCCATGTATGGTTGCTGGGACAAGACAACTCATCCATTTCTGGCACATCTGCAATGTGCAGAGGGAACATACACATTGGTTGAGGCTCTTCTCTCTTTGAATGAGAAATAAAGGGGGATGTTTAAGGTTGGAGAAGAATATTGGGGTGACAGTGGGCATATTGTTAGTTAAGCCTGGAGTGAGGCTGATTTAAGATCTGGTGAGGGGAGTGCCTCTAGTGGCATCACTAAACTGTAGAAAATGGTGTGTTCTTTATTATGTTTCCGACCATGTGCAGGCAACCTTATAAATTTGTCTTATATTTTACTGTTAGATTAATTGATCATTTAAAAGCTGCCTTGGAGATTTTGCAGTGGAAGTGAGGAGTGTTTAATATTTTCAACAAAAGTAAAATGAACTGGGGATCTTTTGTGTCCTGTGATTTTTTGTTTTGTTTTTGTTTTTGAAGCTTTTGAATCAATGATGACTTCTGATAACTGCCTGGACTGGTCCCTGCAGTTTTCTTAGCAAGGTTTTTCAGAAATGGTTTTTCCTTTGCCTTCTTCCTAGGGCTGAGAGAATGTGCCTGGCCTGAGATCATCCACCTGGCTTTATGCCACAAGCAGAACTCAATCTCCTGGTTTCTAGCCTAGTGTCTTAATTGCTGTACCAAAGTAGTTCTACTCTGTGATGGGACATTCAGAATTATTACCTTGGTGTAGATCCATGGCTGTCCCCTCATATTTCAGCTTAATTATTTGCTCAACATAGAACAGAACAACATAACAGAGTTGGAAGGGCCCTTGGAGGTCTTCTAGTCCAACCCCTTGCTCAGGCAGGAAACCCTATACCACTTCAGGCAAATGGTTGTCTAATCATTACATAAAAAGTTCCCGTGTTGGAGCATTCACAATTTCTGGAGGCAAGTTGTCCCACTGATTAATTGTTCTAACTGTCAGGAAATTTCTCCTCATTTCTAGGTTGCTTCTCTCCTTGATTAGTTTCCATTCATTGCCTCTGGTCCTGCCTTCAGGTGCATTTTAGGTTGCACAGAGATTTCTGAGTACCAGAAATCATGAAATAATTTACAAGGAGGGAGGCTGAACTTGCATAGTCACCTTTTAAAAAACTAGAATCCCATTGATCTTCTATTGAGTTTTAAACATATATGGCAAGGATACATCTGCAGTTGTGGTGGACACTATTACTATGGAAACTGGGCAGGTAAGCCCCCATTCTTATACTGACTGACAGCCAGCAACATCTGAGTTTCAATATTAATTTGAAGTGACTAGTGCTTGTAGCTAAAGATCACGTACACAGGAGGATTACTTTAAACTTCCCCCTTTCTGCTAGATAAAAGCTTTTATCTTTTTAGGACAAAGGCAGGAGCTGGGTAGCAAGGTTGACAAATGTTGCTCCTGGGCCTCTGATTGAAAGTTGCAATCTATGAGAAAATGGCAGTTCCTAGGAAACAAGAAAGCTTTTTCTCTGGAAGTCTATTTGTCTCTAAGGAATAGATATAGACAATTCTAGACAGAACACTATGTTAGAATTTTTATTTTGATTGTATGTGTTTGGTATTAATGTCCTGTACAGGCTCAATATTGGTGTGTTTTATATAACTTTACAGCACAGGTTTTTAATATTAAGAGGAGACCCTTATTGTGGTCTATTCATGGCCCTATATTTTCCATTTTTCCAATCTTTTTTTAATACTGGTTTATCTTATTTATGTCTTATGAGATTGATCTGTCTTCCTAAAAATGAATGGATAAGAACTGGCTGATTTCCTTAGCTGCACCTCAGTGCTGTGCAACCAGAAAAAAGTGCTATAGAATTATTTTTTCTCACTTCTTTCCTTTCAAATTGCCAGAAATAAGTATGTAGTGCAGATTGTGGGAATGCTATCTCTCTCACACACTAAGGGCAGAGGGGAGGATTCCAGGTGAGGGGCTGCCTACAAAATAGGTGGTGGCAGTGACGACTACCAAACCAAGGCAGAAGATAGAGCTAAATATAGACTCAGAGATCTTTTGCACAACAGTCTAAGCGCTCCCAATTCAATTATGTGTAACAGACAGCGTTTGCCATCTTGTGACAAGGGGCACATACCCACCCTTACGACCATTTGCCTGCTGTAGTAGGAGAGCCAGGGCACTTCCATTGTGCCCTAAAGCCATCTTTCTACCAGCTCATTGGGGGTGGGGTGGGGGGCAGATGAAAGATGGTGAAAAGAAGGATGCCAGTTCTCCCAGGATCTAAAAGACCCACTTCTCCCTTTTCTTTGGTTGTCATTGCCCTAGTCTCCATGGTTTGGAAAGTTGGCAGTAGCAAACCAAGAGTGCTAGGTAGGACAAAAAGTACTTGAGGGTGAGGATTGGGAGAAAGAATAGGAAGCTGACCTTTGGGTTCCAGTTTCTCCAGCAGTAAAAAGACCTCCTTTCCCCCAAAGAAGGTCTACTTAATTACAGGGGTACCTACTGTGGAGATAGTTCCTCAGCAGTACAGAGGAACAGCTTAGGTCCTGCAGGGTCTAGGATGCAAGAGGCTGTTTTTACATACTATATGTCTAGTAGTCTACTGGTCAACTGCTGGATATGTGATACATGTTGGTGTTTCACCAGGAGATTGCTTACAAACAGCTGCCGCTTCTGCACTCCTGAAGACAGCAGCACTCTTAGTTTTAAAATAAAATGCAACTTCATTTGTGCATCATCAGGAGTGCATTGATACAGTGGACCACTATGTCACAATAGAGAATCCTGGTTGCACTCCTGCATGAAACCATGAGTAGGTCCTCTTCCACAAGTGGGTTTCAAAAATTTTTACTACCAGTTCTGTGGGCATGGCTTGGTGGGCATGGGGTGGCTTGGTGGGTGTGGCTTGGTGGGCGTGGCAGGGGAAGGATACTGTAAAATCCCCATTTCCTCCCGATCAGCTGGGACTCGGGAGGCAGAGAATAGATGGGGGCGGGGCCAGTCAGAGGTATTTACCGGTTCTCCGAACTACTCAAAATTTCCACTACCGGTTCTCCAGAACTGGTCAGAACCTGCTGAAACCCACCTCTGTCCTCTCCCTTCCTCCTCTCTTCTGCTTTGATTGCCACCTAGGTCAGGGGTAGGGGTAGGGAGAAGGATGGTCTGGTTCCTCCCTCCTGCTTTTGTTTGGAAGGCAGAAAGAACAGGGGGAAGAGGAGAAAAGTGGCAGAGAATGGATCCTTTGGGGCAGGTTCTCTGTTATCTCCATGGCCTTAGGGGGGCTCTCATGCTGCCAGTTACTAGCACCAAAAGAAGGGCTCCCCACTTGCTTTTCTCCTTCCCCTGCTTCTTGGGTGGACAGAACCCCTCCTGCTTTATGCTGAGGCAGAATGGAAAGTGGAAGAGCACTCAGCACATCTTTGGGGCCAGTTCTCACCTTGGGTAACAAGGATAAAAAAAGATTTCAGCTGCCTCCATCTCTGCTTCCGTTCCCTATATGCCTGACCAAAGGTTGGATCCAGATCTTTAGTCCCTCTCACCAGCACAAATTCCAGGCATCTTTAATTCAGTGCTGGAGGTGCCTGTAGCAGCACTATAGAATTACACCTCCTTGTTCCTTCCTGATAGACATTGAATTGCAAATGAGTCCGTCTGCCTCCTTTCCCCATCACTGGCTGTTATCTTACGCTAACACAGTATTATATCTAAAATAGCAGTGAGCGTGTAAGTGCAATAGTTTGCTAGATTTTTATTGTTCTTTTTAATGCAGGCTACAAACCCAGAATGGTCCTAGCATTGCTGACAGGATTACTCGTGCTTCCTGGGTATCCACTTATAGTAAAAGCCTGCTTGGTTTTATTGGGAGGTTAGAATAATGAGCTGTTTTGCAGCCAGAGTGCACCAGAAGCTTCAGTGGCAACAGCAACACAGAAAATAATTTGGACGGGTCATTGTGAGATCTCCAACAGTATAATCAAAGAGATCCTGTTTCTTAGATCCTACTGGGCAATTCCAAGCAGAGGCAAAATGGTTTGAATGTGCTAATTTGCAGGGATAAATGAAATAAGAGTTTTAATGGAAAACTAGTAAACAACATGCTGTTGCAGGAAGGATATTCTGTACTCACAGAAGACAGAGAGTGTGGCAGAGGTGTGCTTTGTTATGGTTATTCCATCAATTTCGAGTTCTACCACACATACAAATTCTTGCCCATTGTCTTCCTCTTGAGCTGTCAGGTTGAGTTGCAATGGAAAGTCATCACTGGATGCCAAGATTCTCCCAGAAGCATTTTGGATCTGAAGAGAAAAGCTGGGGGGTTCAGGCGCTGATGAGTTGCATAGAACTGTCACGAGATTATTGGCAAGGGCCTCAGAGGGGTAGATTTCCAAAGAAGGCTGTGGAAAATCTGCAATTTTGAAAAAAGAAAAAAAAAGAAAGAAAGAAAAAAGAATGCTGCTTCTGAAACATCTCGGGAGATGATGGCAGTTGGGAATTACATCAAATACTAGGCACTATTTCACAGATAAACAGTCTTAAGAATTTATTTTTGAACAGATATGTGTAATTGCTGATTACCAGATGCATTGCAGTACCACACCTATCATCTCCAGCTAGCACAAGCAGTGATCAAATGTAATAAGAGTTACTGCTCAATATAACAGGAAAATTCACAGGTTGGGGGGAAATTGCATAAGGTACCACAGAAGGAAACATGATGTTACATTTTTGGCATACCCAGCAACACATTTTTGGCAGAGTTTTATGTATTTACAGTTCTGGGACCATTTTTTTTTATTTACAGCCTGCTCAAGGAGAGAAAGAACAGATGGGTACATGGATCATGGGATTTGGAAGATCATCTGATGACTGAAAAAATAAGGCTGAAAACATGACCTGCTGTGTTCTTTTCTCAGTTCTTTAGAACTTTGTATAGTAGCTTATCATGATGTCATCTCACAAACATCTCACTGCATTTGTGATATACATGCCCTCTGCTTCAGAAATGCCTTCTTATGGGGCTAGAGGGAACTATGGCTTTAAGAACCCAAGCAAAACCCTAGATGTGGAATTGGTCAATAATTGTTGGTGTGTGTGTGTGTGTCTGTGTTTGCTAATGGTTTCTAATGAGATAAAACCATTTACCCACCTTAAACTGGCATGAGAGAAAAGGAAAGCAATTCAGATCTTTCTGCCTTCTGGTCTGCTGCCATTGGAAGCTTATTCAACAGCAGGCATGCATAGATTGAAATCCTATGCAACCCTCAAAAGTCCCAAAGACCTTCCAAAATTTGAACCCAAACTAAGGCAAAAGGGAGAAAATGAATACATGGAGAATAATCATTATAATGACACTGAATTTAATTGGCATTTGATTTGCCTCAGCTTAATTTTTCTTGAAGCTCTCCACCTACTTGTTGAAATTAGGCCTTTGGTATACCACTCAGCAGCAGGTGGAACTACTGCCTCAAAAACTATTGCAACCCTCCCTCCTTTAATGGGAAGTATGGTGCACTGATATTCTGACTTCTTAGTGATGATTGCATGTCAGCAGACCACACACACACACACACACACACACACACACACACACACACACACACACGTCTTAAATTGGAGACGTGAAGAAAAAGAAGACTGTGTGCTACTCAGGTATAAAGGAAGGTCTTTGTCCCAAAATCTGAAAACAACTGAAATATTTCTCCACAGTTTTTGTAAAAGCTTTGGTATCAGGCCTAATTGAGATGTCTATGGAGATTCTCAGTCATGCAGGTCATGGTTGTCTCAAAGGTGATTTTTTAAGAGGCAACTGGACTTTCTGGTTTTTCTTTAGAGATGTTTCATTAAACCAGAAAGTCCAGTTGCCTCTTGAAAAAGCACCTTTGGGGCCTCCTTGAGATCTGGAATAGTTAAGAAATTTGCTGTTGAGTACAGATGCCCTTTACCTTCCCACTGTCTTTGCCTTATCCCGACCTTCATTATTAAAAAAACTGGATTCAGTATATGTGCGACCCCAATGATATAAACACAGGGTTAAACTCAGTTACAATGAAGGGAAAGGACTGGCTTCTTTATTCTATCTTGAAACCTATCACAATGATGATTAATGTGCTTAGTACTGTCATTCCTTCTCCTCGGTCCTAGCTAGCTTGTTTTGAAACAAGCCACAATTCTGTGGAAATCAGAGCAGCCACTCACTGTAGATATGCACGGTCTCCACTGCAGATTTGGTTATGGGCCCCAGGGACACGGTGCAGTTTAGCTGATAATTTCCTGTTGCCAAGGAAGACACCTGAGCTTGAGCTCTCACGGTATTGCCCGACAGAGTGATGCTGGCATTCAGACTCTGTTCTGCGAACTTCAAGTCAAATTGGGCCTCTTCAGCTGGGAAGACCCCAGCAATCTCGCAGGTCACACTCAGGTTAGAGCTAGCTTGTACGTAGCGCAAAGTGTGAAGCTGGGGATCTGCCAGAAAATCTATAAGAAAGAATGATTTTTCCAATTATTTCTCTGCCAGGAAAGCCATCAGATACAAGAACCTCTGTTAAGCACCCTCTTAAGAAGCCAGATTAGTTCCATGAACCCCCCCCCCCAAAGAAATCTACTTTTCTCTATACATGTTTGTCCTTGGCTCTGTAATCAGTCAGGAAGTCCTGGGACTTCCATTTTTCTTTTCCTGTCCTTAATAATATTTGTCTAATTTATCCAGAATGGGCACTTCAGCCTTTGGAGGCCACATATGACTCCATGGATTTTCTCTGGGATTGTGTATATATGACAACACCATTCTTATTGCAAGACTTGAAAGTTTCCTCCTGAACATGTATTTTGAGTTACTGCTGGATGGGAACACTGAAATAACTGAGTACTTGATAGACTTGATAGAGGCTAAGGACTCCCAGACCCTTATAATGAGGTACGCCTAATAGTGCCAGAGGAGCATAGGAATGGACTTAGAGCAGGGGTGTCAAACTCAAGGCCCATGGTCTGGATCTGGCCCATGAGGTGCTTAGATCTGGCCAATAGGGCCACCCTGGAAACAGTGAAAAATTGGCCCGCAGTGCTTCTGACAGCACTGTTTTCAGAGCCCTCCCGAGCTCTGAAAACAGAGCTCGGGCGGGCTGAGCAGGCTCCATTTTTGCTGGCAGAGGGTTGCAGGAGGCTGTCACAGCTGTAAACGGAGCTTGGAAGCCCGTTTTCACTGCAGAGCACTCGGGCCCCCAGGCACCCCCGACATGAGTGACGTCAAACTGGCCACACACCCCTGGCCATGCCCCCCTTTGAGGTCAAACACAACCCTGATGCAGCCCTCAATGAAATCGAGTTTGACACCCCTGATTTAGAGGATACCACATAATTAGGCAGTGTTGTGCTGCTGAACATCAATGTGATGACATTTCTCTTGATTCTCTCTAGATTTCCAGCCCCACCTGCTCCCCCCTCAAGGATTCTTCTAATGAAATCAAATGAAGTCAGAAGTTGTTTTGCGGTTAAAAAAAGTGTTAGTCTTCAACATCACTTTTGAAGCATTTCCCCATCTTAGGAAACATAATGAAAATGGGGGTGGGAATGGTACATGGGCAAATCAAGGTTTTGTTTGCAAATGCTCCTCCTTGCCTAATAAAACTGACTTTTGTAAATTGGGGTGGTGGTAGTGATCACAGATTGGATAGGGGTATCAGGGGACACACTGTTGATAAGTGTGAAAGCATCTTGTGAAAATACCCATGAGACGCTTTTAAAATTTCACAGGTTCGCATGATCTCCAATTATTGTTTTTTCACTGACATAATGTGCTCGCTAGTTGTTTTGATCTTTTGGGGGGCCTTCACTGTTCTTAGCCATTGATGTTTTTCATCTGAGTTATGGGGCATAATTATTTCTAAAACATATCTTGAGCCTTTTAGAATAAAGAATAAACAATGACGTACAGTACGACAGATACACATGTTTATATGACAATCATTAAATGGGTGAAGAAATCTGCCTGCATCTTTTCTTTCCAATGCCCTTGCACTCAGTTACAGGAAAAATTGGGGGCAGTTAATTCTCTGGGCACCAGAACAGAATTGTGAGTCACAGCCATTGTAGCTTCATTAAAGCAGCCAGCTCAAGGGCAATGTTTTTGACATACAGTTATTAATATACTCCCACTAACAGGATTATAATAATTACATGTTTCCAGCATGCTCACTAGCAGTAAAATGCCTTTCCTGAGCGCAGAACTAGGAACTGGGATGGAGGAAGGGTAAAAAAACTGAAGCAATTCTTAGTCCTATGAATGAAAATCTTATTAGCTTATTAAGTAGCTTCAATATCAAATTAAATATCCTGCAATTAATTATAATTGTTTAAATTATCTGAGAAATCAATGCCCATTTTTTCCCCACTTTAACATCAGAAAGTATTTTGTTTATATCATTAATGTATTAAGAGTCCTTTTTTCCATTGGGACAAGTTGAAGTCTGGCTGCCATATTCATCAGTCATTGCTTAGCCCAATTTCAAAAGATCCTTGGTTCTTTTATCAGGAAGTGATTCTTCCTCCTTTTGGCAATTTGTGCATGGCACAGAGGAGGGCAGGAGGGAAGGCATTACTTATTTTGTTATCCTGCTCAGCCACTGCTAGCTTTGCCTCCTTATCACTAGCATATGTCCTTAAACAACAAAAAAAATCAGCCATGCTTTTATCAGGTCTTTCTGGCCAAGTGCTGCATTTACTCTTCTTGTTCTTCTTCCTTTTTATTATTATTTGTTTTCAAGGACTACTGAGGCATGGCTGGTGTTATACTATAAGTAATGTCACTAGAGTTCATAGGCCCAACATTTGGAGAGATGGTGGGAGCACTGGGTTCAAATATACCAGAAAGACATATTAAGCCTTCCAGAGTCTCATCACATCCACTATTTTAAGCCTTAAATTAAAAAAAAAAAGGAAGCTAAAAATATAGGAGAGTGATAATTACTCATTTTGTTGTTTGTGGAGATTCTCAGTCATCCAGGTCATGGATGCCCAAAGGTGCTTTTTTTCAAGAGGCAACTGGACTTTCTGTTTTTTCTTTGAAGACCTTTTGCTTCTTGGATGAGAAATATCTTCAAAGAAAAAACAGAAAGTTCAGTTGCTTCTTGAAAAAATCACCCTTGGGACTACTCATTGTGTTATTGTATTTCAGTGGCACAATCTTTCAAGATAGTAAAATGTAACCCATACATACATAAAAAAAAAAATCAGTAAATGCTGATTAAAAACAAGATGGCAACCCAGCCAACCATAGAAACTCAATGAAGGGCTCCAACGACCTTAGTCCAAAGCCTGGTGGAAGAACCAAGTCTTCAAGGCCCTCCAGAACAATAGCAGGTGGGAACCACTTGAATCGTAGGGGAACTACATTCCAGAGGACAGGCATAGTGACAGAGAAGATCTGCCTCTGGATGACAGCATGCCAACCCTGTTAGTCCTGATCGGTTGGGCATACACTCTAGAAGGCAGAGAACCCCTCAAATAAATGGTCCTGTGCCACGTAGGGCTTTATAAGTCACAACACACACTTTAAATTGTACCTGGGATCAGATTGGCAGCCATTGCTGCAGAGGTGTCTCTTGGGCATACTGAGGCATCCCCCTCAATGCCTATGCTGCTGCATTCTGGACCAGCTAAAGTTTCTGAGTGGTCTTCTGGGGCAGCCCCATGTAGAGCACATTCCAGTAGTCCAGCACAAGGGCGACTAAGTCAAGAGTGATTATCTGAAGGGCCTCCTGATCTAGGAAAGGGCATGACTACCACATCAGATGAAGTTCTGTAAAGGCCTTCTTGGCTACAGCTGCCATCTGCTCATTGAACAGGAGCGGTGAGTCCAAGAAGACCCCCAGATTGTGCTCCACTCTGGAGTGGGGAAGTATAACCCAACCCAGAGTGAAAACTGGAATCTCTCTGGATCAATTCAGCCTTCAATAAATCTTGTATAGGAAGCTGGAGAAAGATGGAGAGGCAAGATTTGACCCCAGTCTTCTCTGATAAAACAAAGAGAATAAAAACAGAAAGCGATTCTTTCTAAAGAGCACAGGACAGAATTTAACCATTGCAACCTTTCAAAGTTGAGGTCTGATCAGGAACACTGCAGAAGAGCACTATTATAATTAAGATCCTTAACAATACGGATCTTTATATTTTCTTGTTCTAGTACTTCTTCCTTTTGTAACTTTAAATTTGAAAGATTAACATGGTACATGTTCAGGGTGCTGAAATGTTCTTCAAATGTCGCTGAGCTAATATTCAGCAGTCGCAGCTCATATGGCTGGGTTACCATATTTTTTGGAGTATAAGACACACCTTTCCCCCCAAAAAAGAGGGTGAAAATCTGGGTGCGTCTTATACTCCGAATGTAGCCCTGCCCATCCTCTCAAACGGAGGTTTCAGAGGCTGAAAAAAGCCTCCAAAACGGAGCTTCAGAAAAAAAGCCTTCAAAACGGAGCTTCAGAAAAAAAGCCTTTGAAACGGAGGTTTCGGAGGTTGAAAAAAAAGCAAGGCACAGAGCTCACAACTAATGAACCTGTTGCTAAAATTCACCTCTGGGAACAGCTTTTTTCTTATTTTCCTCCTCAAAAACTAAGGTGCGTCTTATACTCCGGTGGTCTTATAGTCTAAAAAATATGGTACTTTATTTTCAGCAACTTCTAGAGATCTATAGCTTTCCCAATTCTGATACAAGTTGCTCTTTTCACTGTGAGCTTGCAATTATTGCAGGCTTTGTAATAGTAGAATGGAAGAAACTATAATAATTTGCTGTGTGTATCATTGAGTGTATGTGAATGGAGATCTGCATCCATTGCACACCCAGAAATCCCATGTGGACATAAACTGAGGGTGAAGAATGATGTGTGACAATAAGGACTGAACACAGAGCTGTGGTGACGCAGTGGTTAGAATGCAGTACTACAGGCTAACTCTGCCTTCAGCCAGAAGTTTGATCCCAACCCGGCTCAAGGTTGACTCAGCTTTCCATCCTTCCAAGGTCGGTAAAATGAGGGCCCAGATTGTTGGGGGCAATATGCTTACTCTGTAAACTGCTTAGAGAGGGCTGTAAAGCCCTGTGAAGTGGTATATAAGTCTAAGGGCTATTGCTGTTGCTATTGCTATTCATTAGCAGTTTTGATTTTCCAGAGGTTAGTTTTGAAGCTGGTTCCTGGCTTCCCAATGCATCTGAGTGTCAGGTTCCAAACAGAAGGAAATAAAAGGAAACAAACCTGGATGCTGCTACCTTAGTTTAATCACTTCTTGGCACTCACTGACAATCGCAGATGAAAATCTTGTTAGAGCTACTGCCCTGTGCTTCCCACCACCATTTATCTATTAGTTATCACCACTCACCCAATCACGCGCGCTGCTCCCTCCCATGTGACCCGGAAGTTGTTTAATTCTTGAGTATTTACAACCAGCATCTAAACAGTTAATCCACTTGTTTATTTGCCATGCTGGGCTGAAACGAGGTTTGTGCGTTCCTCCCCCCAAGAATGGCAGCTCTATGCCGACAGCATGCTGGAGCTGACACTGAGTTACATTCCCAAGCATCGTTTGGCTTGATCCAATCTCCTCCCTCTTGATAAATCCCTCTTCTATCACTGCTTGAACTTTCTGTTAGTAGTAGTGACTACCAGGAAAAGATTTGGGGACAAATACTCAGAGACATCAGAGCTCATTCTGCAGTATAAGTAGCAGCCCAGTTGCCCCCTCCCCCCAATGTAATAAGGTTGATTCACCACATTTGTCCTTTGCCATTAAATACATAATACAAACCTACCTAACTGCAACATGGGAAGTATCATGCTTTGCCTGCTGATTCCCGATTCAGTTTCTCAATTTAGATCAGAACTCCAAGTGGTTTCCCCATAGTCCCCAGCACAAGCATTCCTCTAAGATCCAAATAGACACCCACTCCTCTCTTTCTGAGCAAATAAGAATCCCAGATATTGGGATGCTGGCTTTTAATGTTTCTTTTCTTTCTATTTTGACAACTATTCACCACTTTTTTTGTTGGGAGGAGGAAGCTTCATTCTGGAGAAGATAAAAAATGTACAATAAGAAACTTGCAACTCACCAAAGACTTTTAGGACTTCACTGGATGATGTCTTTTCAAGGAGCTGCCCTCGAGGCCTCAGGTCCAGAGCAATGTGGCAGGTGACTTCCTCCATGTGATTGTCCTGCTGAGCAGTTATGGGGAAGGTCACTAGGATGTCACTTGCTTCAGGAGCACTGTGATTCTCAAAGGTCTCTATGTGGAGTTTTTCTGTTCCTTTATACACTGTCACAGTGAGGAGCTGGATGGGAGCAGCATTGGCAACTCGGCATGTCAGATTATACACTTTGCCCATCTCCATTATTGGCACTGGATCCAGCATTACATGTTCTGGGATTTCTGCAATGATACATGGAAGCCTACTGGGAAAGGATTTCATATAAAGGTGCTGAAGAAATCCCATAGAAAGGGTCAAACCATTTCGATCAGGCATAGACAGCATGTGACCTTCCAAATTATATTGAACAAACATGAGTCCTAGCTAGCATATTTAATCATGCAGCAGAAGAGCAATTGCAATCCAACAATCTTTGAACGACATAGATTGTCTGTCATGCTGATCTAGACCATTGAAGATGTCTTCTCTCCAAATTCTCATTGAGATATATCTCACGGACAAAACAGATTTAAAGTAGTAAGTGGTGAGCATTTATGGGAATCTTGCCAATAACCTATGGTTTTGTCTATAGTAAAGCAAGAAGTAGCTCTCAGAAAGGCAGGCAAGGTAAAACCCTACCTACGTTAAATATTTAGACACTGAAGTCCTTCAGCCCTGTGGACCACACATTCCCACTGCATGTGATATACCTTCAGAAACCCATTTTTCAAAGTCTCTCTCCTCAGGTGACCATTGGTGGCAGAGTAGCTAGAATGCAGTATTACAGGCAAACTCTGCCCATAGTCAGGAGTTTGATCTTGACCAGTTCCAGGTTGACTCAGCCTTCCATCTTTCCGAGGTCGGTAAAATGAGGACCCAGATGATCGAAGACAATAAGCTGACTCTGTAAACTGCTCAGAGTGCTCTAAAGCACTATGGAATGGTAGTATATAAGCCTAAGTGCTATTGCTATTATTTTCCATTTATGATCTTGTGCCACTACTCTCCAAGCACCAAGCATTGCTAGACTCTTCCCTTAGCTTGTTACATACAACTTTAATTTCATACTTTATCCCAACACCCATTTTATCTCACCAGACTTTGTTTCCTTAGGGATCTGAATAGTAAAAACCTGGAAATTATCTTTCTAGGTCACATCTTTAAATACTTTCAAGATAATCTAATGTTCATATGTTCATATGGTTCCCATGGGGCTGCAGTAGCTTCTAGCTATGCAGGATGTGATAACCCACTTCTGGAAGGGTGCACGTCACAGTCATTGAAGGCTACCCAAATGCCATCATTTTATTCTGAGAACATTCGATCAGTAGTTGTGCCTTATCAAAACCTCTTACAGTCAACCCCAACAAGTTAATTGGTTGCAATCTGGAGACACCTGTAAAGCAACATGCTGTTGGAGAGGATGGTCCTCTTTGGTGATACTAAAAGGAACAACTTTTGGGTTATATCTATCTGGATATGAATTGCAGATTGCTTCCTTTTTAGTGATTCAGACCTTCCGGTTTTCCTCCTCATTTTCCTTTGCCCTTCCTCTGCTTTTTTCCTTTCCCTGTCATTTCTATTAATGTTTTTAAAAGCTCTGGATTTAGCTATTAAGAGAACTGGAGTTCTATTCAGCATCTTCATTTCTTCAATGGGTTCATAGGGGAATGAGGTAAAAGGAAAAACAGGACAATTATGTGAAGAAATAATAATAATAATAATAATAATAATAATAATAATAATAATAATAATAATATTACCATTAATCAATTGCAAAAGATCGCTTTACTTGGAACAGCTTACATCCTAAAATAGTCCCTTTAATATTATTAAACAATAACATCTGCCTATGCCAGGTCCTTGGGAAGGACTTGATAGGTGGGCAAAAATGCCAGATCCAATCTAAACATCTGGCTGATTATGCAATCAACCATGATAATAATAATCCTTGTTGTTGAATCTGGAAATTCTCACTAGGCTGGATTGTGGAGCCTGGAATTTAGCCCAATGGTCCATTCTAATTAGCATCACTGTACCTGTGTAACATTCAAAAGTGTCCTGTGTCACATTCTGACTTTGTTCATATATATATATATATATATATGTTTCCAACTCTCAGGCCAGGCTGGTCTAGGCTAAGTAATTACCTAGATGAAAAGCTGCTTAAGGCAATCTTTTACAGATATAAACAACAAACAGATCTTTGCATCATCACCACTTACGATAGACCATGATGTTTGCCTGAACAGATTTATGCTCTCCATAACAGCTGAAGGAGCACTCAGTGGCAGACGCCCACTCCGTGATGTTCACAAGCTGGAAAACTGCCCAGTGACTCCCATTGTCTTTCTTCTCCTTCATCAGCGATGTCTCCAAGCCTCCCCTGGCATCTGCCTCCTGGCAGCTGGTACTGCAGTTCAGCCAGAGAGAACCTCCATGCTCCACCACAGGGTTTTCTGGCCAAATGGTCACATCAAACATGTGCTGTTCTGCTCCTGAAATAAGGTATTCAGACTTACCAACCAGTTGGCCCAAAACATCACATAGAGATTTATAGGTTTCTGGATTCAGAGATAGGGAGTATCTTATAGGCTTAGGCAAAAAATTCAGTCCATTCCCTCCCTTTCCCTCTCATTAATCGCAAGGCATTTTAGCAATAGACTGTGCTCATCACACTGAAATAATTAAAGAAACATGAGAGCGCCATTCTTGTAGCTGCAGTTTATACACATTTATGAAAGAAGGAACTCAAGAGATCACAAACGGAATTACAGGAAACACAAATGGAATTATTCCAAGAAAACCACTTGCATTTAAAGAAAAATGTACCTAAATGACTCTACATATTAGATTGAACTTCAAGTCAGTACACAAAAACATAATGCTTTTCACTCAAAGCGTTTCTTTGCAAGAAAGACTAGCTTTTAGAAGAATGGTTTTACTTAGCCTACTCTATGAAGTGCTAATTTTGCATTCCCGCTCTCTTCAGGTATTCATCTGAATGCTTAAGAATTTGAAATGGGCAGAAAACAGTCCATGCCCACAATCCTATTCTCTGCTCTCTCTGTTGGCACACATTCACCTAAGATGTATGAAAGGGATCTATGCTTTTGGTGGCTTGAATTCAAGGACCACTCTCTGGGTTGTCCAGGGTCCATGGAGAGTTGAAGTCAGATTCTAGTGTCTGAAGGTGACAGTCTCCTTAAGATCATCTAGTGAGTATGTGGGTACATGGTGAGAATTAGCATTATCCAAAACGTAGTTGTGCTTTTTACCATCCAAATAAGCACTAGCTTCAGTCACACTATCTACAATGTGGGGACCATAATATCATTTAGAAGGAACTCCTGAAGCATGTTTAAGGAACTTCTACCCAGTAGCGATATTCACTTACCTTCGCTACTGGTTTGCCAATGGGAGCGTGTACGCGCTCACTTCACTCGTGTGCACCACCTCTGCGCATGCACAGAGCGTCCGTGATGATGTCCAGGCGGGTGGGCAGAGCCTCCCGCCAGCACTGCTGAACTGGGGAGAACCGGTAGAATCCCACCACTGCTTCTACCCCATTTCAAAAATGCAGTGTTGCACAAAAGTCAGTTTACTTTCTCAAAGCATGTTGCTAAATGAGTTGCCCTTTATAATACTGAGTGATGTATCTTCAAAGGTGCTTGTTCTCTGTTTTAATAAGAGAACTAGTCTGTTTTTGCATTTTACATAATCTAGCAAATGAAATTGGATGAAGCAGGAACTGGCTGCATGCAAAGATCAGTAGATGTAGTGAAGAAGAGCAATCAAGGGAAAATACTTCTATATTCATACATCTCTCTGTATCAAGGAATTGCCAGCCATGCGGGTTTTCCAATTAGTGTCATCCTGGCAAATGCTTTAGGCAATAGCTAGTTTGGGAACATATATATAGTATGCTTGGCCTGATTCTCAGTCATCCAAGTCATGGTTGTCCCAAAGGTGCTTTTTCAAGAGGCAACTGGACTTTCTGGTTTTTCTTTGAAGACGTTTTGCTTCTCATCCAAGAAGCTTCTTCAATTCTGACTGGATGGTGTGGATCTGATCACTATATATATCAACACTTGCTTAAGAATGTTTAATGTTGAATATGAACTTGGTCACTGTGCACTTATTTATTTTGCTCAGCTGTGGTTTATGTTACCAAGGTTGTCTGGGAATGAAAACACTAATTTCTAATTTCACATATAATGGCTGGATTTACATAACCACTAACCACACCCAAACAAATTACATTAGCATAATGTCTGAATCTAACCATTGTGCTTTGGAAAATCTGAGTTATTTTATTTATTTATTAAATTTATATACCTTCCATCTCATTATCCAAAGTGACCTATCATTTATTATTATCTATGAACCCAGAGCACAATTGCATGGTTATTAAAACAACCATTGTTTGGAGCGATTTCACAGCTTTCTATATAGTTGGACAAGGAATAATTTCAGTAACATAACTTAATGCCTTTTGGTCCAGAATAAATGGGTGGATATAACTCTAGCAAATAAATAAGCCAAGAAAAACAAGGAAAAATATGTGAAATGTGTTTCTGGTCCTTTTTTCAATTTCATGATCATAGTTCAAGGACACATGATCAAGAAAGAGAAAAGAGGACTTAGAATAGAGGAATCAGCAATATTCTGAGCCACTCTCCAATTGTCCAATTGCTCCCATGGAGGGCATTTTATTCTGCAGTTTTCCCAAAGCCCATTTTCAAGTGCCACCTTTCTTTGTTGGCTTCTTCTTCCTTGGGAAGTTCTGGGTGAGAGTTATCCTGCTGGCAAACAGACTGGTGGGAAGTCTTAGTCCTGAATCCCTTTTCCATATTTCTTTTCTAATATTCCCTTGAGTTGGAAAGAACATCTTCTGGATTTGGTGGAGGGAAAAATCAAAGAATCTATGGGTGAAACACAATGATCAGATTCTAACGGACAACTTTTCAGCCCTCTGAAATAGATTAATAATATTGGAAGGGCCCTCAGCATTTCTGCGGTCCAACCTCCAACATGCAGATATCTGTCTGTCTGTCTGTCTGTCTGTCTGTCTGTCTGTCTGTCTGTCTATCTATCTATCTATCTATCTATCTATCTATCTATCTATCATCTCTCTCTCTCCCCACCCTCCCTCCCTCCCTCTCTCTCTCCTGCCCATCTTACCATAGGGTAACTCTGGACAACTTACAGTTACATCTAAGCTAAAATTTAAAAAGTTAAAATCAAACTTTAAAACCAAAGACACATGGGGAAGGTGGGGGCAGAATGGGGGGAGGTGGGATCTTTTATTACTCAATCAACCACCTCCATTGCGCTGTTCCCCCACTGGGGCCCCAAGCCTTCTGGCAAAGCCACATCTTTAGGCCCTTACGAAAAAAGAGGAGAGTTGGGGCCAACCTCACATCGGGAAGTGGGAGAAAGATGTTCCAGAGGGCAGGAGCAACAGCAGAGAAGGCCTTAATCCCTAAGAGGTTGCCATAAGCCTTCAATATTTGAAGGTATACCATCCTTGCATGGGTGTATGCTTAGTAGTTTGGGGCACATTGTGGCCTCAGAAGCTCTACCCTTTTGTGCATATGCAATGTTATAACATACATAGAAAAGGGGCGTGTGTTGTGACACCATGATGTTCTGATGCTGCTTTCATCATTCTGTGTCTAGCCATCCACTCTTGCACCCAAAGCACCCAATTTCCATTGAGATCCTCAAGCGTTCTGTTGAATTCACTCTATTTAATCTAACTATGGATAGCACAAAATTTTTGACCTGCGCTGTCTGGCCAGTTCACCCTTGCAGAAGATTGAAGAGAGTGGTAGAAGAATTTTGACTGGTCAGAAAAAGATGGGCAAGGATGAAGAATGAAAGCAAAAAGATGGATTCCTGCTCCAAGATGCTTACATTTTTTTTAATGCTGAGGAGTGTCATGATCAGAAAACAAATTGAGGCAATGGGGGACTGGAAAAAGAAATATTTCAGCTATATTTTCAGAAGCAAATAACAATTAGAGAAGTGTTTTTCACACTTGGCAACTTTAAGATGTGTGGACTTCAATTCCCAGAGCTCCAGTGTAAATGGGCATGCATTTCAGTTGTTCACAAGAGAACTGGGCTTTTTTTTGTTCAATATTTTTGCATGAATTTCCAATCTCCAATTTTTCTCCAGCCTGAATGACAAGCTGCTACCTCTTAGCACCCTTCACTTTGAACCTAGGTTTACTTATTTGTGTAAATGAAAAATGAAAGAGATTGAGAAATTTATTTCTAAACATCTCAACAGGTAAGAGATCAGAATAAGGTAATGATATTGACTGGAACATTAGGAAAATCTTTCTAATGGTAATAGAAAGGATGGGCTCCCTTTTGCTGCATGTCTAAGCACATGTTGGCGATGCTAGACTTTGTATCTCTGCACTGAGCATGGGGTTAGATCTGATGGCCTCAATCAACCATGTGCAAGCTGGGATCCTGAAGTATCACAATAAGTTCCACTTCCACTCACACCTCTGTCAGATGAGCAAGAAAGATTTAGTGATCCACATAATCTCTAGATCTAATATGTCTTGTTTTGTTAATCATATGATGTTCTTAGACTAGAGGACCTCTATTCTTGGGGCCATAAAGAATTATTTCAACAGCCCCCATCCTTTTAACCCACATCCTAAGCAGAGAAAGAGTCTGGAAAAGAATTCAAAGTGAAAGATATCCCAGCCCAATCCAAAACTCAAACCATCTGTTCTCTTTTAATAACGCACATACTATTTCCTCATGGCTGCAACAGAAATCATCATCATCATCATCATCATCATCATCATCATCATCATCACCATCATCATCATCATCCAAAGAACAAGTCTTATTCCCCTTCTTAACCGCAAGTGAATGAATTTGAGTGTAGAATGGAGAACCAGGAGCCAGTAAGAGATTTTTATGGAAAAAACAGCATGTGTAGAAAGCAGCAAAGATCTAAGCAGAGATTTCTATATAGCCCAGGGGAGGAGAGGGGCAGGGGGGAGAGTCATAAAGAGAGACAAATGGAAACCCTCTTTTTTTGAGAGTGGGGGGACTTCTCACACATCTTAGGCAAACCCACTCAGCTGCATCCGATCCCATTTGTGACAAGGAAACACAAAGCCTCTTCCCTTTGCTTTTCTCAGCCATCAGTGAGAAGCCTTCGGCATAGTTTGGGCAGTGGAGAGCATCTCGGGGTGGGGGTGGGAGAGAAGGGTGGACCGCTGGTCACTTACCCACGGGCATCAGCACTGGAAGCAGGAAGCAGCAGGGAAGGAAATGCGAGAGCCACTGGAGCTTCATGGCCGAAAGCAAAGCTGAGCTAGAGAGAGTAAGAAAGGAGGCAAAACCAGAGAAAGAATAGCTGGCAAGCGGAGGGGAGGAGAAAGGGGGATCTTGATTGGTTTAGCGTTGGCAACTTGGTATCTAAGGAACAGGAAGATGCAGAGGTGGCTAAAAAGCTCGGTGGCAGCAGGAGACCAACTGTTTTCAGGGGCACAAGCTGTGCATTTTAATTCCCACCTCCTACTATTCAGAAGGAAAACTCTCGCCCCTGTAGAATCAGCAGAATGGTCCAGCCATTCCTGCATCCCTTTCCATTTGTGGGAGTGATGGATGCTTCAGAGCAGAATCCTTGCCAAGCCTTGTTGTTTTGAGGGGCAAATTGAAAGGTTGCTTTGATGACGCTGTGCTTGGCATAGCCCAAATAGAGTTCTCTTGAGCATGCAACATAAACCTGCTTCCATTTTAGCAGCCTTTTAGACATGGGCTGTATTGCTTTATTGTTCTGGAATCAAGTTACTGGTTTGTAGAAATGTATTTTAGTTCCAGAGTGGGTGACTATAAACTTAAAATGGAAGGACTCTGATCAACCTTCCAGTACTTCTATCTCTTTGATGCCAGTTATCAGAACTGTGATTCCCTTGGGGCAGAATCCTATCTTTTACACTTATTGTATGCTATCAAATTCAGCATGAATTAACAGTGCTTTCTAACTAAAATGTGTAGTCTATATCAAATTAAGCTCAATTTCAGGTGACTACATGAACACTTCCTTATAGTTTTTTGGAAAGTCCCACAGAAGTAGTTGACTCTTGCCTTCTTCAATTTTACTTCCTAATCTAATTTGCAGTTTTAAGGTTTTAGGTGGTCTCCCTTCCCCTTTAATCAGATCTGATCACCCTTTCCTTTTCAAAAGTAAACTTGCTGCTGACCTGTTCTGTGACACTTTCAAATATTCTCAGCAGCCTGTAGCATTATCACATCAATACAAAAGTCCACTTGACAGCAGGATTTAACCTGAAAAGGTAAATGCTTGACCCAAACAGCTTATTACCATCTACATTACCAACCAATGGAACAGAAGTTGCCTTCAGAAGTTGTGGGAGCTTCATCACTGGAAGCTTTCAAGAAGAGACTGGACTGCCTGTCAGAAATAGTGTATGGTCTCCTGCTTGGGTGGGGGGGTTAGACTAGATCAGTGATGACTAACCTTTTTGTCATTGCGTGCCAACAAAATAATGCAATGCGTGCACGAGCCCCTGCACGCTCCCCCGTGCATGAGCGCATGGCCCCCCATGTGCGCCCCGCCCCCACATATGCGTGTGACCACATGCATGCCCCCCACTCCCCACATGTGTGCGCCTTCCCCGCACATGCATGCATGACCCCCCACCCCCCATGCATGCATGCACATCTCCCACATGCATCCCGCTCCCGGGCATGCATGGCAAAGACCAGAAAACCAGCTGGCCAGGGGGAGGTGCATGCGCCTGCGTGGTGAAGCTGAGCTGGGGCAATGGCTCCCGTGCCCACAGAGAGGGCTCTGCGTGCCACCTGTGGCACACATGGTTCGCCATCACGGGACTAGATGATCTACAAGGTCCCTTCCAACTCTGTTAATCTGTTAAATAACATTTTATCTGTAGGGGCAGTGAGTAAAAGCAGACGGGAGATAGGAAGTGAGTATAGTAATCCCTTGTGTTGATGTTGGTCCCACAGAGTCATCACAGAGACAAGACCTCTGACAACATTGCCTTCCACGTAAGGGGCATTCAGGGGTCCAATGGGGTAGATGCTAGTTTCTTCAACTTCTTTACCAGTTTTAAAGAAATTCATCACAACTTCTAGGCTATTGTTTTTATTTTAATATATACTCCATTTTCTTACCACAAATTTTCTTTTTTTTAAAATTTGATTTATATGCCGCCCTTCTCTGGAGACTCAGGGCGGCTTACAGTGCGTTAAGCAATAGCCTTCATACTTTTGTATATTTTATACAAAGTCAGTTTATTGCCCCCACAAATTGGGTCCTCGTTTTACCTACTTAGAAAGGATGGAAGGCTGAGTCAACCTTGAACCTGGCGAGATTCGAACTTACTTTAATTGCAGACAGCTGGTGTTAAATTACAGTGCCTTGTCTGCAGAGCTATCCAGGCTCCTTATTGCCTTTTTGCACAATTTTCCATTTTCTTTGGCATATCCTGATTCAAAAATGTAAAGATGTCTTTATGTGATCCTTTATCACATAAAATCTGAAAAAAAGGCAGATTTTCTGCCTTTTAAAGCAGGCCTGGTAACCAGTTTTCCCTTGTGGATGTTTTATTGTTCTAAAATAGGAAAGAACTACCCACAGATCATGGGCCATTTTTCTTTTTCATGTTTAACATTTGTATTAGGTTATAAGGTAAAATACAAAAATAAATAGGAAGACACAGTGGGGGGAAAGGGGGAGAGAAAATGAGGAGAAACTGGGGAAAAGAAAAAAAGAAACGTTGACATCCAACTCCCTCTGTTGCAGTAAAAAAAAGCATTAACATGAAACCACAACTTATTGTTTTCCCATAATAATATAAACTAGCCATTTCTATAAAAAGATATCAATCTAATCGGTAAAACCCAAAATCAGAGTTTTATTTTTTCCCCACTTCAAGCACAAAGTTAAGATGTTTCCATGTGGAAACAAAGGTACTTATATTCTTTCCTTTAAACAAAATGGTCAATTTAGCCATTTCTGCCAACTCCATCAGCTTCTGTAGCCATTCGTCCATGGTGGGAATTGAAGTGTCCTTCCATTTTTGTGAGTATAATAGTCTTGCTGCTGTTAACATATATAATAACAAAGTTCCACATTTTTTCTCCAAGTCTTTTTCCATTAAACCCAAAAGAAAAGTTTCTGGTTTCGCATTTATATTTGTTTTAAGAATTTTCTATATTATAATATGAATATTACTCTAAAATTTCTTAGCTTTATTACATATCAACCATAAATGATAAAAAGTTCCTTCTTTGCTTTTACATTTCTAACATTCATTTGAAATACCTTTATATATTCTGTATAATTTATCCAGTGTTGAATTCCAACGATACATCATCTTATAAAAATTTTCTTTTAAATTATAGTTTAGTGTAAATTTTAAACCTTTCATCCACACATTTTCCCATTGTTCCTGGGCCATTTTTCTAAAGCCCATGAAGATACTTAAACTCAGCAGTGCAATTTTTTTTCATTTTGATCAAAATAAGAATGCAAGTAGGTGTGTTATAAACCTCCACTAGGTGAGTGGGCTAGGGGAATACTGTAAAGACCAGGAAAAAGAGCTGAAGAATCTTATGTGGGAAATGCTGGGCTGGTCCTCCAACAGCAAAAAAGGAGGGGGGAATCTGTGTTGACATAAGTTCCACAACATATGGTCCATCCCCCTCTTTAGGTGTGAAGGCAAAGGGACATATTGGACTTCACTGTTTGAGACGGAGCTTGCTCAAGGTGGGATGAGATGCTTTGCCAACTCCTGGAGTGGATTCCTTGGCAAGCCATTTCAGAGGAAAGATGTTTCAAAATCAGATTGGAATTGTCTGGGGACAGTAAATCTCTTGCAGTGGGCTGCTACCACAGGACCTATAAAGAAAGCAGCTAGCTATCTCAGCTAGATTGACCCAATTCCAGGGGTGAAATGCTCCCGGTTCGGACCGCATCGCCCGATCTGGTAGGGATGGAGGCGGGTGGTTCGGAGAACCGGTAGCAAAAATCCCTGCCCACCCCCCATGCCCAGCTGAGCCGCGCGATCATCAGAGGCTTTTTTTCTTTTAAATGCCTCTGACAATCCCAGCTGAGTTGTCTGATCGGCAAACCCTCTGACCATCAGGCAACTCAGCTGGGATCGTCAGAGCCTTTTGAAAGCATTTTTTTACAACCTCTTCGCTGAAGAGGTTGTAGAAAAAATGGTTTTAAAAGTAAAAAAAAAAAGAAATTGGTCACGCCCACCCAGTCACATTATCCCCCCCCCACCAAGCCACGCCCACAGAACCGGTAGTAACAAATTTTAGATTTCACCACTGCCCAATTCCCTAACATTGCTGGCCCCCAAGATTTTCTCCTGAGTGGACAAGCCAACACATGTGCAGTGATGTTCTGATTAGAGAAAAATAACTTCAAGGAGAGCTCCAGGCAACTGCCTTGCAGACAGGAGAGGTGGGGGAGGCAGTTATAATAATAGCTGGGGATCTGTGGGTGGGTGAAGCATGACATGGCTGGCTCCAGATGGGTCTATATCAAATCAGTTTTGGACTATGCAGCAAGTACAGCTTTGCGGATTTTATTGGCATTGAAGCCTAAAAGCCTAGTCAATCTATATACTCAGGGTATTTTGACGTAAGTCCTTAAGGCCAAAGAGGTTGGCTTTATATAAAAGCCGTATTAATGTTTTTGCTATTTTGCTATTGGCGTTCTTTTCATATTTTGCAATGGCCGGCATTTAGTCATGGGATCCTGAACCCCTAGCCAACCCCACCCTCACTCCCAGCAGAACAGTTGCTGTTCTACCTGTTGCAGTTTTCCTTCCTTCCTTCCTTCCTTCCTTCCTTCCTTCCTTCCTTCCTTCCTTCCTTCCTTCCTTCCTTTCCTTCCTCTCTCTCTCCTTCCCTCCCCTTCCTTCCTTCCTTCCCTTCTCTCCTCTGAGAGTGTATGTTTGTTTTCCTTATGTTTTTAATCTACAGATCAAGACTGGAAACCTGGAATTTGCAACAATTGGAACAAATTTCTGAATTCATCTGAATGTAACTGGGTCCATTCATGCACCCCTGTTTCACAATCTTGTTTCACTGACTTCCACAGCTCTTTCTTCAGTATGAGAATGTGTGGGATTGTCCTGGAAAAGGACTTGCTGGCAACATCCTTCCCAAAGAGTCATGGAAACCTTAAAATGACACACCAGTTAACAGATGGGAAGTGCATTATCTACATCAAGAACAGAAGAGAAGGAATAAGTGCCCGAGTCTATAGACACAACTAATGCAAAGTAAATTATTCCCTTAACAGAGTTGGAAGGGACCTTGGAGGTCTTCTAGTGCAACCCCAAGCTCAAGCAGGAGATACTATACTATTTCAGACAAGTGATCGTCCAAACTCTTCTAAAGAACCTCCAGTGAAGGAGCCCCACAACTTTTGAAAACAAGCTGTTCCACTGATTAATTGTTCCAAAGCCAAAGTAAAGTAAGGTGACCAAAGTAAAGAATGATTCTACAGTGTTAGAACTCCAACTGCATTTGACTCCCATGCAAACTTCTTGGGATCCCTATATAAGCCTTGCATAACCGCAAAAAGGCTCTCCTCATTCTGCACCCAAAAATCAATGTCATTTTATGAAACATTGTAGGTTCTCTGACAGTTTTATAAATTGTAACACCTGTAGGTCAGTATTACCGGGGCTATTGGGGGGGATCCTTAGGTCCTTAGACCAAACACATCTTTATCTGAATCATATAGAAGCTGTGAAGCACCTTTTTGTCTTTGAAACCAAGTGGCTGCTTTTGATGATCAATCAAGTAATTGTTAATGGAAATGCATGCAGTAGAATGTTTTCCTGTTGAACTTTCACTGGGAGAAAGTTTTCTCCAACCATTTGGCTGAAATCTGTTTACTACTGATTAGAAAACTCTGCTCCACCTTCTGCATGCCAAACTTTCAGGGATTTGAAAAGTATTACTGAATTTCCTTTTGGCCTAAGCATATATTTATTGAATGTATGAAGGCAGTTCTGCACTGCAATTCTTCGATGGGGATGGGCAGTCTTTCAATGGGCAAGGTTTTCAATTTATCCAAGAGCTGTATTCACACTGTGGTGGAGTCGACCTAACAGAGGAAGGATGGGGCAAAGATGTGATCATGATCATCAAAAGCAGGAAGGAAAAAAAAAGGAAGTGGAAATATCTTTTAGTGATACGGGCAGAAGAATAAAGATATTAAATATATTATGTATGGTAGACCTGTAGGAAAGTGGGTGAAACAAAATTGATATGGTACAAGGTGATAGGTAACGTTACTGATTGCTTAGTTTAGGAAAAGGGATGTTATGTTTAGATATTAATATACTTAAAAGATTTGAATTAAGAGATATACGTAAGGGGGTGGAGGAAATGGGTAGATTATGAGTAGAATAAATGCCAAATTAGGATCTATTATATAGTTTTATAGCCGAATGCTGTTTTGAAATGTATAGTATACGGGGGACATAATAATAATGTTAGAAAGAAATGTTTAGCACATAGGGGGTGGTGTAAAAGGGTGGTAAAGTATTATATAATGTGATATTAATTTGGATTTCATCTTGCAGAAGCAATGGGGGGAGGGGAGAGGGAGGGGGGTTAGGGAGGGGGGGGAAAGGGGGAAAAATTTGTATTTGAAAAACTTTTTCAATAAAAAAAAACAATTACTTGATTTGATTTAAAAAGCTGTTATATAAGAATGTTTTTAAAAAAACTCTAGGAGAAAATGCATATTTTGTTTTGCAGCAGTTAAGATGCTGGACTTTGGGGAAACCCGGATTCAAGACTCCACTCAGTCATGGAGCTCACTGGGTTACTTTGGGACAGTTACTCCCTCACCACCATCCCAAGCTGTGGTTTGCTGAAATGTTTGTTAATATTTGTGTTAAGCTTGGGTGTGCTTTTACTTTTGGTGGTAGTAATTTTGGACAAAGGAACAAGGAAGAAGATATAAGTAGTTTGTCAGATTTTAAAACTTGTTTAATTTGTAATATAGATTTCCAGTATTTTGGGTGGCAGCTAATTTTTATTTCATGTTGTCATCCAGTTATACACACACATACTTTTGCTGGGTATGATTAAGAAAGCACAATTAAAAAAAAATCAACTGTAGGTGTTTGGCAAACTTTTAAAAACAGAATAACATGAGATAGGTTTGTATTTGTTTGCTAGTTCTGCTGGTTTTAAAGATCTTTCTAAAGCAGTGCCTTCCTTGTGGTCCTTGTTTGTCATATTCCAGCCTCTTCACGGCTGCTGGTGAAGCCTGGGGCAGAAATCTTTTCTTAGCTCTCTTTGATGTCAAAGAAAGGCTGTTGCCCTGAATCTCTGGCTGAGTCTCTGTATCTTTAGTGTAGGTTGCTGCACATGGCCACCATGAATCCTAGGTAACTCTGATAAAACTCATCAAATTGAGCTCTCGCACTTTATCAGGTGGATATACTTCTGGGATTGCACTAAATAATTCATATTTTTCTTTCTTCATCTCCCTTCAGATTATCTCTGTTTATATTCATCTTGTTTAACCAGCAATTATGACATTTTATTTGAAGAAGCATTTTAATCAGTTGCTTATCTTCATGTTATCATTGAATAGCCTTTATTCCCCAGGCCTGGTGGAACAGCCTTCCCTCCCAAGTTCTGCAGAAAAGTTGTGCAGGAATTTTTCAGCCACAAGAAGCTGAAAAAAGTTCTTTCTTCTCTTATTTTACTTTGCAGTCCAAGGGCAATTGATCACTCCTATATTGACTGTCTTGCCGTGCAAAATCCTTGAGGTTATGTTAAACAGTCATTGGAAGATACAATTTCAGGAGTAACTCTTTTCTTTAACCAATTGTTAGAATGAGAAAGCAACTTGTTGGTGCAGTTTTCAGGTATTCAGGTTCAGGCTATTGTCCTGTTCCCTTAAATTTCTGTAGCTACATACTGAAAATACTCTGAATACCTGGAAATATAGAATGTTAGTATTGTTGAAGAGAAAATGGCCATTGATTTCATTGTGCTAATTTATGTCCTGATACTCCACTTTCCTATGGGTTTCTTTGGTAGCAAATGTCCCCAATTTTGTATACCTTTGTACTTGTATTTCATTACTTGTTCTCAAAGTATTATAGTTACAAAGTTGTTGTATTGCTAATAAATGCATTATTCACTTCATTCTATAATATTATATATACTAGGGGAAGGGGAAGGGAATTTACATGAATATAATATTTCCCTGTCCATTTATTAAAAGAATGAATAGATCATACATGATTGTTGACATTCCTTTCCCATGTGCATCTTCTAGGAAATGCGGTCCTTGTAAAAATATATGAATGATCACTGCTTGTTTTATAATTATCAAAAAATTCTCAAATGTAAACAGTCCTTCAGGCTATGACTTGATGGGAATCCATCTCACAAAGGTTTATGACACCAGCCAATCATTGTGTCAGGCCTGGAAGCCATCTTTAGTACCTTGTAATGGAACATTTCAAGCAGGAAGAAGAATGCCGGAGAACGGGACATGTTTTCCTGATTCCAATGTCCACATGCTCAAGATGAAACCTGGATATGATATTGTGAGCTTTTCTTAATATTCTTTCCATATATAAAATGATTCACTATTGTGTCATGACACATTCCTTGCAAATGAGATGTTCGTGAAGCAGAACGTTTACTCTGGTCACTCTTCTTAAATAATATATAGATTTTTGATTCATTGAGTTTCCCTTTCCATTGCATTAATTGATCCAAAGTTTAATGATGAAGATGAGAAAGACCCCCAGCACACAGACTAGCAAAGCAGCAACAGCAGTAACAGCTACAATGATAGCCAAATAGGATTCTGAAAATCAAATAGGAGGACAATTAGAAAAGGAGAATGAAACATCACAACATTATTGTCAAAATATTTAGATATTTTAGGGTGGGTGAACTTTGCAGAGAAAATTCAATGTATCGCCCAAATGCATTAATAAGGCTATTATACTACTTTATATTATAAAAGAACTACAAATTCTCCAAATCAAATTAAACATTAATAAGCATAGCTGTACTTCACATGTGACAAAGAACCAGCTTGCTTCATATTTTCCAAGCAGAATATTACATTAATATGATCTGAAACTGGCTCTGAAGAGCATATGACATCTGAGGGTATAAGCATCTATTATTTGATTATACCCCACCACCAGCTTACAGTTATATTGTAAGATGAAAAATAAACTCAACTAACAGAAATAGCAGTCTGCTGGGATATTGCATTTTACATATGTTCACACAAAAATTCACAACCATTTTTTCAGCCATTGAATTAGTACATCTTTAACTCATACTATAAATTTCAGACCTCTTAAGTTTCAAGAAATAATATTTTGGTATATTAGCAATTATTTGTTCATTTTAGACTGAATTTATAACTCAACAGCAAAGGAAAATTTTGCGTAAAGACAACTCTACACTAAACCTGGGGTGACTGCAGTGACCACAGTTTTACATGTTTCAGTTCATGTAATTCAGATAATCCTTAGGCAGTTAAGCCAAAGATTTTGGGAAAATAAGTGGGTTAATATGAGGAACCACAAAAAAAAGCTTGAGTTTTACAAGGAGAAAAATATGATATGCTTTACTCACAAGGCATAATTTTCTTTTCTCCATCAAGGAAAGTTTCATTTAAAAATTTAGTTTCCTGATTCTCTTGATAGAATGCTAAATACGATTCTTCTTTGATATGTCCAAGCATTGACTGGAAAACTGGGTGTGTTCCTCAACTCCAGCCCTGGTTGCCAATTGCTGCAGTTCAGATTATTCACTATAATCCTTTTTAACCCCTTGTTTATTTTTGTTTGGATTTGTTTTTTTAATTGTATTATATTTTATTATTCTATTTTTGTTAGATTATGAGCCACCCAGAGTTGTTCGGAATTGGATTGTGCCTCAATTGAATAAAGTAATTTGAATTAATTATATAAATTAATTTAAATTAAATGGGGAAGAGATAAGAGGCTTTTCTCAGGAAGAATTTATCCAGTTTTTTGGGTGGGGGGCTTGCAAATGTTCCCTTGTGGGGGACAATACTCCTTTCACTATTCATGGACTCATGTGAATACGCTTTTCACTGTACCATTTCCCATTTGTGGAATCACTTCCTCTCCAAGTTAAGATTCTTCCAGTCTCAACTATTTTTCTGCCGTTTTGTTTTGTTTCTCAGTTATTGTTTATAATACGATCTAGTGTACCAGTCTTGGGGACATTAATTGAAAGGATATATACAATAGAAATATTATGAAATAGTAAATAAAGGCATTATAGTCAATCTGTGACATGGAAGATAAATTAATATGTCACCTTTATTTCAGAAATGTATTAGCTGAAGAACAGGGTAGGAAAGATTAGTCCTTATTTTAAAAATGAGTTGATGAAACATATTTAATTAAAGTAACTTTCTAAGCATAACTAAACAAGCAGGAATTGATATGAAGAGGTCGTGTAGAATGGTATGTTTCATAGCTGGCTGGCAACCTCAACATTATGATGTGGTCTCTCTTCATATTATATAATAAAGAAAAGTCTCTGAGCATCTATAGAGTCCTTTTCTCTCCTACCTGAGCAATCACTTGCTTTTTCTGCATACTTATAATAAAGTCTTCTGTTATACATGTGGGTAAGAGAGAGACTTTTGGGCAGACCCTGGTTTAAAATCTTGGCATTTTGTTTTTAAACACTAATCAGCCTTCCCTTGATGGCATTCTGAGTTCTACCATAGAATCATAGGTCTGGAAGGGATCTTGGGGGTCTTTAGTTCAACCCCCTGCCTTTGACAAGGGGTCCTTATTCCACCCCTAGTTGTTCAGTCTTTTCTTGAAAACCTCAAAAAATGAAGCACCCAGAACTGATCCAAATGCTGTATAAAAAACACTCTTGGCAGTCATAAAGCTTACAGTTCTGATGTTGCAATCTTTTTCTTCCCCAGCCCATTGTCCATGTTTTATCTTCATTGTGTTCCTTGGCGCCTAGGGCCAACTGGCACACAACAGGAGCAGCAGTCTTTTCCCAAACTAACTGGGCACAAAAAAATCGAGCATATGGCATCTGTCATGTGAAGATCACTTAAATTTTCCTAGTGAATAAGAACTGCTCCTCTGATCCTAAACATGCATGTAATTGTGTATGCATTCCTTTTTTAAAAAATGGAGAAAGAGTTAATGCAGTTTAAAAGAAAAATACAACAGTAAACATCTGCCCCCCTCCTCTCTCCGAAATATGTCTGAACTGGCTGTTCACCATTTATATGGTTTTTATAATAACAAGGAAAAAAACACATTGTTTGATCTTCCCCAGAGAATGGGGAAGCTGTTGCTACATTTCTGCAATGAGACAAGGGTCTGGCTGGCGTGTCTGTTCAGTAAAGCTTCTTGGCTTGCAAACTTACCAGCAGTCTTGAGTGAAACCTCTGAAGATTTGATTTGATAGACTGGTTCCTGTAGGCTGAAATGCACGGCTGCATGACAATAAGCTTCCTGACCATGGTCCTCTGGATGGAGGGTGACAGAGAGAGTGACCGTATAGTTTTCTGTTTCAACCCAAGTACAGTTTGTAAAACTTGGCGTACCCAACCTCTTTGACCCTTTAAAAAAGGTCACCACAAGGCTAAGGCAGGGATTGACTCTTATTATGTGGCATATCAGGTTATAGGACCAGCTCTGGCCTGGCGATGGCTTCTGGAGTTCCAGGGTCATTTGCTTGAGACGTCCTGTAGTGGCATCTGTGGCCAAAGAAAGACAACATTAACTGGACTGAATGGCTGGGTTTCCTCTCTGAGAGAGATGGAATATTTGTCTTCCCTGCTCTCCTGCCAATAGTTGGATGGATTTAAGCTCTTCCAGGGTTCCTTCGCTACTCCCCATTGACCACTTCAAGGTGAAAGATATCCCCTGTTTGCCAAATTTGAAGATTGCTGCCACCACCCCTTAGAAATCTTGAAAACTTAGAAATTTCTTGCATTGTTCTTTCTCTTTCAGGCTCCTGTCAATCAAGGAGTCGGAAGTAGGGCTGTGGTTTAAACAGACTGGATCTCCCTGAATCACTACAAAATACCCTACATGGAAAATGTCTCTTTAAAGATTTTTTAGTAGCCCCTAAATTCCAAGTTTACAGCATTAATTAGACTACAGTAATTAATACCTAAGTAATGGTTCAAATGACAGGCAGTTTTAGAAATTTAAATGGCTGATAGGCTTTTTCTTCTGGGATATTCATGTATCTAACACAAGAACATACTGTATGTACTTGATTATGTTAGATAATCTAAACACATTAGGTGTTGATTGCTATTTTACCTTTGTGGCTCTATCTAGCAGGCGAGTATTGAGTCTTCAGGACCAATTTAGTGATAGTGTTTCTTAACACACTATTTTGACATCTTAGATTAGAACATTTTGGCTCATAAGACAAAATTTGGTCATGAAAGGTACACTACTGAGTTTCCCTTGAAATTTTATGCTGAAATGGACATTAAATGACCAATCATTTTTATTTTATTTTATTTTATTTTTTAATTTGATTTATATGCCGCCCTTCTCCGAAGACTCAGGGCGGCTTACAATGTGCTCAGCAATAGCCTTCATCCTTTTGTATATTTATACAAAGTCAGCTTATTGCCCCCACAAACTGGGTCCTCAATTTACCTACCTTAGAAAGGATGGAAGGCTGAGTCAACCTTGAGCGTTGGCGAGATTCGAACCCTGCAGTAATTGCAGGCAGCTGGTCTTAATAACCAGCTTAATAACAGGGTGCCTTAAACCTCTGTACTACCAAGGCTCTTGAAGATTTCTAATCTTCATTTCTAATTTTATCCAAGGAACAATAAATCATCCTTAATTTGATAGCAGAGTTCTTGAGACTGAAATTGTATTGAAAACCTACTTTCACACCTCAACCACAGCCCTGCTCCTTTTTTAAGTAGCAACATCTTTGATGAATCACCCTTTTAGAACATATTTTTGTGAGATGTTTTCCCACCAAAGCCTGTAAGTATCTTAATTCATCTGATCACAGTTGTCTATCCTTTACTGTATTTCAACTACACACTGAACTACGCACTTGGCAAGCTCGCCAACCTATTTATACTTTAGTGTGTCATGTTATAGCACTTATAGTTAGTTTATGCTTCAGGGTGTTAAAATTGAGTTAACTGTTTGTAAACATGGCCTTTGTGTAAAACATGATGCTCTTTTTCCAGTTGTAGGAAGGAAGGCAGTGTGCTTAAAATGCTGGGTTAGAGGCAGCAAGACCTAAATTCTACTCCACGGCTGGCCTTGGAAGCTTTCAGGGTGACTTTGGGCCATCACTTTCTCTCAGCCCAACCTACTCAAGAGTTGTTATGGGGAAAACTAGGAGGAGCATTACGCCTCTTGAATGAAAGGCAAGATATAAATGAATGAATACTAATATAAGAGGATATAAGAATTGCCCTTTCAAATCTCTTTTTAGAGTACGTACGGAATGTATATGTAGTGTTTTAGGAGATTCTAGCCCTCCACCCTAAGCTAGAAGAGAAAGGCTACTCCAGAGAGGCTGCCAGAGAAGCTGTGTGTGTGTTTGGGGGGGGGGAGATGGTGATTTAAAAGTCTGTTTTCATCTTTTGGCAGGACATAATTAAAAGGGCAAGAGGAAGAGGATGTTGCTTTTTGCACTGGACAAGCTGGGTGGTGGACTCAATAGATTATAAATCAACTGCCAGCTTCCTCTTCTTGCTATTCATTCTTCTTCCTTTCTCCTGACTCTTACGAATGTTGAAGATAATAGTCCACAACATATGGCCATACTAAAGTATATGTTTTGCACATCCTTGAGTGCAACAGAAAAGTGGTGTCATGGATTACACTGATACAGATCAACAAGGCCAGGAAGCATAGCTGTCCTTATAGATTTAGTGCAGGAATCTTTCAGGAGAGTGAGCAGTGGTTTCTTCAACTTTCCTTCTTTCTGCAGACAAAATCATCTACCAGCAGGAGAAGACACCACAATCACTCTCCAGAACACATGCTGAGGAAGGAGTGGAAGACTTCTGGCACTCTCTTCCAAAAATCCAGAATCTTTCCAAAAAAGATTTTGCTGGGTTTGCCATTGAACTATCAGTCTCTTTCAATGGCAGTGTGACGGAGAGAAGTGAATTTGGGTGCTTTAATTAATCTCTAATTCAAGTCTAATTGTGCCATGTTTCTTTTAAAGCTGGTGGCGCATTTGCATTGAAGCAATACTTTGTTAAAGGGTTTTTGTAAGTTGCTGCTATTTACTGCATTAGATGCAGTAGATGCACAGGTAGCCCTCACTCACTTAATGACTGTTCAAAATTACAACAAAACCCCAGAACCAGAAGTTATTTACAACCTGTCCTCAAAGTTACAGCTTTTGCATCCCCCCAGCCCACAGTCACGTGCTCACATTTCCGGAGTTTGGCAACCAGCTTGCATCTACGGTATGACCAGTAGCAATGTGCCATGGTAACATTATAATGATTTGTTATTTTTTTGCCAGTTTCTTGTGTTTTTTGTCAAGGTGGGTGTTGTTGTTATTTTTTTGCAGTTTGGCAAAAATGCCCATTTGGGAGAATGGATTCACTGAATGATCATATAATTTGCTTAATTACCATAATGACTCGCTTTATGGGTATCATAAAAACAGTCACAAAATTGAGTCAGTTGCGTGGTGACCCACTTACTGACCGCAATGACTTAACAATGGAAATTCCAGGCTCAGTTGTGGATGTTAAGTGAGGCCTGCTTATAAAAATGCCTGCATTTTCAAAAGTATTTAATTCCTAAAGCTGAAATTCTTTTACATTGTTATCACCATTACTGCTGCAAGTTTAGTGAGGTACAGTGCAAGTAGGGGGTGAGAATTCCACCAACCCTGAACATATAGACTGAAACACGCTTCTTTCCCCTATTTGGCTGCAGGAGATAAGAAAGAAAAAATAGATTTCTTCCTTGTCCTTCCTTCCTTCCTTCCTTCCTTCCTTCCTTCCTTCCTTCCTTCCTTCCCTCCCTCCCTCCCTCCCTCCCTCCTGCTAATGCTTCATTTCCCACAGCACTAGATTTTGAAAGATATTGCGATCAGTGCCCTGATTATGCCTTGAAATTGGGGCTGTGATGACGTCTTTTCTTTTGTTACAATTTTTGTTTAGACCTTTGACTGCTGCAGTTGTCTTCATAGCAGAGGAGGACTGAGGCCTCAGGGCTGGCCTATCCTCTCCAGAGCAGTCCACAGGCCCTTCTAAAAGTTGCCATCTAACTTTAATGTGAAAGAATAGGAAGTTATTAAAGGATGAGACCTTATTAACTCTAATTCATTTAATTTTCCTCAAGTTCCAGTTCCATCTCTCTCTCTCTCTCTTTTTTTTTTTGTCCTGGTCTTGCATGTTTCTCTGTCTGACCTTAACTACTGCTATTCTGGAGGGTGGTCACTATAGGACATTTAGATGGCCCGAATCTCAAGAAAGGCAATTTGGGAAGACCTGCTTTAAAGGAAGTGAATGGGAGCTCACTAAAATCTTTACGAAGACAAAATAGTGGGATCAGATTAAAAGGGTGGGAGACCTTTTTTCTCACCCACCCACCTCGTCTACCCCATGGGGGGGGATTGTTATACTCTGTAACTACAGAGTGAAGTATGTCAAAATCAGAACTGGAGCAATGAATGGGATCTCATCAAGAGTGCATAATGATGTACCGTGGGAGGTGTTTTTCAGGAGTGGTCCTCTTGGTCTCAGATCCAGGGATGTTTGGCAGATGATTGTCTTGCTGTAATCATCTTCCTGAGCTATTATGCTATGGTTCACCACAACATCACCAGCCTCAGGGTAAGTATGATCCTCAAAGGTCTTTACCAGAAGTTGCTCTTCCCCTTTCATCAAAGTCACAGTGAGGCTCTGAATGGGGGCTACACCAAAAACTCGGCATGTTAAATTATACAACTTGCCCACTTCCATTTCTGGTACTGGATCCAGCTCAATCTTCTGTGGAGGTTCTGTAACAGAATAAGATATAGCCAAACATCTTCAATGTTTAGAGGAGAGGTGATACAGGTAATCCTCGACTTACAACAGTTCATTTAGTGACCGTTCAAAGTGACTTATGACTTCTTTTCACACTTATGACCTTTGCAGCAGCCCCATAGTCATATAATTTACATTTGGATGATTGACAGCTGACTCACATTTATGATGGTTGCGCTGTCCTAGAGCCAAGTGATTCCCTTTTGTGACCTTCTGAGAAGTAAAATCGATGGAGAAAGCCAGATTCACTTAACAACCATGTTACTAACTTAAGAACTGCAGTGATTCTCTTAACAAATGAAGCAAGAAAAGTTGTAAAATGGAGCAAACTCACTTAACAAATTTCTCACTTAACAACATAAATTTTTAATATTTTAATTTAATTTAATATTTAAATTTATATACCGCCCTTCTCCTGAAGGACTCAGTGAACAGTCAGAAGTAAAATACATCAAATACAAAATTTAAAAACAATTTAAAAATAAATTAAACATTTTGGCCCGACAGTTAAAATCCCCCATTAAAAATCCAAATTAAAATACACAATTGGAGAGATTAGGCCAGCCTGACTTGATGAAATAAAAAGGTTTTGAGGGCCCGACAGAAAGTATGTAAGTCCGGAATCGTCCGTATCTCCGGGGGGAGCTCGTTCCAGAGGGCAGGTGCTCCCACAGAGAAAGCTCTGCCCCTGGGGGCCGCCAGTCGGCATTGTTTGGCCGACGGCACCCGGAGGAGCCCCTCTCTGTGGGAGCGTACTGGCCGGTGGGAGGCTCTTGGTGGCAGAAGGCGGTCCGTAAATATCCAGGCCCTAAGCCATGGAGCACTCTAAAGGTGGTCACCAACACCTTGAATCGCACCTGGAGGACCACCGGGAGCCAGTGCAGCTCACGCAGGAGAGGTGTTACATGGGAGCGCCATGACGCTCCCATAATCACCCATGTGGCCGCATTCTGGACCACTTGGAGCCTCCGGGTGCCCCTCAAGGGGAGCCCCATGTAGAGAGCATTGCAGTAGTCCAGGCGGGAAGTGACGAGGGCATGAGTGACTGTGCGTAAGGAGTCCCGATCCAGAAAGGGACACAACTGGCGAATCAGGTGAAACTGATAAAAAGCCCCCCTGGCCATGGCCATCACATGCTTTTCTAAAGACAGCCGTGCATCCAGGAGGACACCCAAGTTGCGAGCCCTCTCTGTGGGGGCCAACGACTCACCCCCAATAGTCAGAGATGGCACCAACTGACTATATCGGCACGCCGGAAGCCACAGCCACTTGGTCTTGGATGGGTTGAGCTTGAGCCTGTTTCTCCCCATCCAGATCCGTACGGCCTCCAGACACTGGGACATCACATCAAGGGCATCATTGGGGTGGTCCGGGATGGAGATGTACAGCTGAGTGTCATCAGCGTACTGATGGTACTTCACCCCAAAACCACGGATGATCTCACCCAGAGGCTTCACATAAATGTTGAACAGAAGGGGCAAGAGGACCGACCCCTGCGGCACCCCACATACAAGACGCCTCGGGGTTGACCTCTTGCCCCCCATCAACACAAACTGCGACTGGTCAGAGAGGAAGGAGGAGAACCACCGCAACATGGTGCCCCCCACCCCTAACCCCTCCAACCGGCACAGCATAATACCATGGTCGATGGTATCAAAAGCCGCTGAGAGATCTAACAGGACCAGGACAGAGGAACAGCCCCTGTCTTGAGCCCTCCAGAGATCATCAACCAATGCGACCAATGCCGTTTCCATGCTGTGCCTAGGCCTGAAGCCTGACTGGAACGGATCGAGATAGACCGCTTCATCCAGGTACTGGGGAAACTGTCGTGCCACCATACCCTCAACAACCTTCGTCAGAAAGCGAAGGTTGGAGACTGGACGATAATTTGCTAAAACAGTCAGGTCCAGGGAGGGCTTCTTGAGGAGGGGCCTCACCACCGCCTCTTTCAAGGCGGCGGGAAAGTAGCCCTCTCTCAAAGAAGCATTAACAACCCCCTGGAGCCAGCCTCGTGTAACCTCCCGGGAAGCCAGCACCAACCAGGAGGGACATGGGTCCAATAAACAAGTGGCCACACTAAGTCTACCCAGAATCCTGTCCACATCTTCAGGGGTCACTGGGTCAAACTCCTCCCAGATAACGCTCTCAAGACCTGTCTCCACCACCCCGCCTGTATCTACCCAGTCAGAGTCCAGGCCTTCCCGAATTTGAGCGACTTTGTCATGCAGATACTGCACAAAATCCTCAGCCCTGCCCTTCAAGGGGTCCTCCCGCGCTCCCGGATGGAGCAGGGAGCGGGTCACCTTGAACAGGGTGGCTTGGCGGTTATCTGCAGATGCGATAAGAACGGAAAAATAATTAAAAATTGCCGTTTTTATCTCCACTAGGTAGGTCTTAATATGAGACCTTACCAGTGTTCAGTCGGATTCAGAAAGGCTAGCCCTCCAATTGCTCTCTAGGCGTCTTTTCCGGTGTTTCATCTCCCTCAGCTCCTCGGAGAACCAGGGAGCTAAGTGAGATCGGCAGTGGGTCAGAGGCCGCAAAGGCACGACACGGTCCAAAGCTCCAGTGGCCACCCTATCCCAGGCAGCCACCAGGTCTTCAGCCGGGTCATGAGCCAGAGCCTCAGGGAAAGGCCCAAGCTCCGTCTGGAACCTATCAGGATCCATCAGGTGCCTGGGGCAGAACCACCTAGTCGGTTCCGCCTCCCTGCGGCGGGGTGTAGCGGTTTGAAGGTCAAGTTGAAGGAGAGAATGGTCAGACCATAACAAGGGTTTAATCACTACATCCCCTATATCTAAACCATTCAGCCACTGGACAGAGATGAAAACCAAGTCCAGAGTGTGTCCCCCTATGTGTGTAGGGCCATGAACTAACTGGGTCAGGTCCATGGCCATCATGGAAGCCATGAACCCCGTGACCCCACTTCACAAAGAGGGACTCACATCCGGTTATCTGAGGCACAGTGGTCTCCTTCGGACCAAGACCTTCCTTTATAACAACTGCTACCTCCCCCCTGGCCCTCTCCTGAACCCTCGGCTGATGGAATGCTTGGAAGCCTGGTGGGCACATTTCAACAAGGGGAACCCCCCCTTCCTGGCCCAACCAGGTCTCCATAATACCCGCCAGGTCCGCTCCCCCCTCTTGAAGAAGATCACAAATGAGGGGGGCTTTATTTACAACAGACCTGGCATTGCACAATATCAGCCGAAGGCCCAGGCCCTGAGGATCTGCGCAACCCGGGGAACGAGAGGAGCATTGGGGGCCGGAGCGCGCCACCGCTCGGAGACAGCAGGCGTGCACCCCCATAACTGGATATGGCCCCCTGCTCCCGCCATATCTGCCCCTCCCACTTACAGTATTGATGGTATTGCCCTCCTCAGTACGGACTCTAACCCTAAAATTTTGGGCTCAATTGTGGCTATAAATTGAGAACTACCTGTATATGTCTATATTCTGCCATCTGTCCTTCTCTATCTCCCACTAAAGGCTTCCTTCTCCCATTTGAAAAAAGATAATGGATCTCCCTGCAGGTTGGATCGAAAGTGATTTCTCAGCAGATGTAAGTGTGAGAGAACTTGGAGTGAAGCATTGGTGGCTGCATTCTTTAAAAACAACTTAAGCTCTGCAAAACAGTGAAAATGGCCAGCCATTACACAAAAGGAATAGATTTTACTATATTAGCTAATATATACAGTTGCAGGATTTGTCTGCTCTCTCCCCTCCTTCCTTCTTAAGGAGGAAGGAAGAGAGAAGTGAGAAGAGTATTTAGCAGTGACTGCCAAAATTTTACTTCTAGCCCAGGCCGCTTGCTGTTGTTGCTGCAGAACAACCTTCTCCTCCTCCTCCTTCCCTCTCTCACTTGCTCCTTCTTCTTTCCAGGCTGCCCTTCCATCACGGTGCCCTACATTTGGGTCATTGTGTCTGAGGTGCAAAAATTTGCATGACTCTTAAATAAACAAAGAACTACTGGAAACTCTCATTTTTTGCAGTCATCTAGGGATCATCTTAGGGGTGGGCTTCAAAAATTTTAGCAAGGAGTTCTCTGTCCGGTTGCTGTGTGGGTGTGGCCATGGTAGGTGTGGCCTAGTCGACCTCCTGCACCACAGCGGGGGGCAGGGCGTTTTTGCCAGTGGTGTGTTGCCCCCGGTTTGCACCGGTTCTATAGAACCGGTAGTAAAACCAGCGGGAGGCTCTGCCCACTGACCCTAATGTTATCAAAATGCTTCTGTGCATGCGCCAAGAACGCAGCTTTGCTCGTTCTCTGTGAACAGGTAGTAAAGGTAAATAGAACCCACCCCTGGTTTTTGCCCTCCCCAGGCTCTGGAGGCTTTCCTTGAGCCTCCAGGAGAGCGAAAACGGCCTCCCCAGGCTCTGGAGGTCCTCTGGAAGGCATAAATGGGCCCGTTTCTGGCCTTCCCGAACTTCCGATAGGCCCATTTTTTTATCTTCCTGAGCCTCCATGCGTGCCCTGCACTTACCTGCATCCAAAACGGGCCACATGGGGACTCCTGGGAGGGGCGGGGCGGGTGGGTGGGGTCAGTCAGGAGTGGGATTTGGGAATTCTCCGAACTGCACAGAATCTTAGCTTGAGGTTCTCCCGAACCCCTGCGAACCCCCAGCAGCCCGTCCCTGGATCATCTGGATTCTTGCATAGCAGTTATGATAGCCCTACCTCATACATTCAGCTTAGCTGAATGGGCAAGGAACTGGCAGCAAAGGAAACCCAGTGTCGTGGTATATGGGAATGACCTTGGGAGATAGGGTAAAGAGACACAGTCAGAGGAAGGATCAGATAAATGGCAACTTAGATCTCAGTTGGAATACTGACAGGGCAAGTGGCTCAGAAGGGACTCTCCCTATTTTTTTGGGCTGTAAAGAAGATTGTGTCAGCTGTGGAAGCCATATTAGGCCGGAAGCTTCAATCCTGCCACCTTCTCATGTGTGGGAAAGTAGGAGGGGAGATTAAGGAGAAGGGTTGTTAGGAGACATAATAGCATTCTTCCTGTTGGTCAAGGTCAGGGCGATCCAGCATCTGAAGAAGGAGTGGTCAGGGGGCTGGGTCGAGATGGAACGGACGTTGATTGGCGCATGTGACCGACTGGGTGGAAAAGGGGATGGTTTTGGGAGCTTTGACTTACAGAAGGAAAACCCGGGCTTTTCAGATTCGGGTTTTCCCAGATGTGCCAGTTTGCCTATTCTAGTAAAGAGAACTTTGGAAAAATGTTTGCTTCCACGTCTTTACTTGAAGTTGGGGTTTTTCTGGAAAGCTGACAGATTGGGGTTTTGGGACAGAGATATATTTTCAGATTTGAAAGATTCCTTTAACTGCAATCTTACAATAAAGTATTATCAGCTCATCTGGCCATATTTCCTGTCTGGTTCACCATACAAGATTGTTCCCCAGTGGCTGGCCCTGTGCTTGTGAGTCTCAGATGGTTGCCCCTATTCCAGCATTATTTTTTTTTTTAATGCAAACTTGCATGAGGGTGTGTTTGTGTAAGACTGACAGTTGAGCCTAGAGAGATTTAGGATAGAGCTGTTTTCTTTTTACCTATATATAGCTTGAGGGAACCTCACAAACTTTCTTCTACATGCCCAGACATGATTGGAAGGGTTTCTAGAGGGAGGGACTTCACTGACTGAGATACTATAACTGTGAAACAGTTAACACTTTCCCTAACCTAAGGCAGAAACAAATCATTCAACTAAACCAAGTTCTATTGTTTTATTTTACTGGGATATTTTGGGGGCATTTTAGTATACAATTTTTGTTGTGACTAGAGTGAGCGGTAGATATTTTAAATGCCAGATAACCACCACCTGCGAGATTAGACTTCAACAGTCAAGCATTGATTTTGAAACAAATGCTTGACATTACATTGGAACTTCGAATGACTTTTCTCCATCAATGGGATGACAGCAGCCAAGAAGTTTAACGCCAAAAGCAAATTTAAAACAGATTATAAAGGATTTCAAGGCCTAGTTGCATAAAAACCTCTTCAATTGATGTCAGAAGGAGAAATGGGACAAAGTCAGTGGTGGGTTGCTACCGATTCGCTCTGGATCCGCCCATCCGCCTGGACGTGTCTGCACATGCACAGAAGCATCGTGCGCATCCATGAGCGAACCGGTAGCAATGGGATTTGAAATGTAGTTTTTCCAGGGTGGGGGGGATCCAAATTTTTGCTGCAATTGTGAGGGAGGAAATTCCTACTAGATGCCTGGGGACTTATTCTGGACATTATAAATCAAGAGTGTCAAACTCAAGGCCCGTGGGCTAGATTCGGCCCACAGGGTGCTTAGATCTGGCCTGTGGGGCCACCCTAGAAACAGCGAAGGACTGGCCCATGGCCGAAAACGGAGCTCAGGAGCCCACTGGCAGAGCACTCAGGCCACCCAGGCATGCCCAACATGGCTGACGTCGAGCTGGCCATGCCCACCCTGGCCCTCCAAGGTCATACACAACCCTGATGTGACCCTCAATGAAATCAAGTTTGAAACCCCTGCTATAAATCTTCCTTTATATCTGGCAGATTTGTACTCTCAGGTTTCACTTTTGGCTTCCTGAGAACCCATTTTCTTTTCTGATCTTGTTGAATTTTAATACCTGATCTCAAAGAAGAGAGAATTTCTCCTTCTCTTCCACCATCCTTCAGTAAGGCTCCTTCACAGTAGGCAACATTCAAAATGATAAACTTTCATAGCTGAATTTGACTTACGGTAAACTGTGACAATCGTTTCCCGAGAGCTGGGTTCATTATTACAGGTCACAACACAAGATGCATTGAGTGACCAGTAAACAGCAATGAAAGTGAAAGCTTTCCAGGTAGGCCCTTCTTTTCTATAATCATATCTGTGAGAAGACCTCTCCTGAATATCACAGCTACTGTTGCTGCTGTTGCCCGTTGTGCAATTCAACACAAAGAAGCCTCCAAATTTCACCACAGCTTTTCTGAAGAGCGCTATTGAGTCTTTCTCCTGAGCCCCTAAAAACCCAAGAAAAACACACATGTGTTAAGAACAGGAATTAACAAGATAGCGTCATTTCATTCTGATTTTGTCCAAAGTGTTTAAATCACTCACCCAGCCAGCTGAGATCTTGCCCACCAATATCACCATGAAAAATTCAGAAAAGGAAGCTATTATAGTAACCTGCTTCTACCTTGGCATCAAGAAAGGTGTTTGTAAAATTTTGCGCTGGGCAGTCAAATCTTATTACTATATTTCTAAACTACTTTAAAATTTTTGGATTACCACCTGTTTCAGAAGCATATACATAATTTTATCCCTGAGTAAATTAGCTATTTGTCTATCATAGCAAAAAAATAAACAATCAATCAGGATTCTGGTGGAACATTTTTCTTATTAAATGTTTATTAAAAGGCACACACCTGCCTCCTCAATATGTCAATATTTCACAACTGATCTAGAATTATATTTTCTCAACTCTTACCCACTTCTTTACTTGAGATTCATGGCAGTTTTCACCATCTGGATTCATAAAAAAGAATTTCTGCACTAATTCAATCAATACCTTAACAGCTTCCATTCCATCATCAACTTTAGCCTCAATGAATCTACAGAATGAGTCCACTTCCTTAATGTCACAGTAAAAATCACACAATGGACACATAGGCAATATACACCATAGCTACATGCTGCTAGCTTCCACCCAGAGCACATAATCAAGCCACCCTCTCATCTACATCCAGGCACTATGCTACAATGGCATTTGTTCTGGCCCACTTGATGGTCATGCTCAAGTGGTGGAATTAAACCAGACATTCAGGAGGCTGAATGTATCCACCCAACAAGATCAACAGGCAAATCAATAGAACCTGATTGGTTCTCAGGGAAGATCTATTAAAAGACAGACCACAAAAACAGAACAGAATACCATTGGTTGTCACTTATACTCACTGCTCAATCACACAAAAGATTATTAATAAGCTAAAGCTAATAATGGTCTGTGACACTTCATTTTCTCAAGTACAGGATATTTTAGATAAGCAGCCATCCATTGTGAAGCAGATTCTCACAAGCAACAAACAACAGGACAATGATGCTAAAACAGGAACCAGACTCTGCCACAAATCCAGATGTCTATTTTGCTCCCACAACTTATATCAACAGCACCATCACCAGCTCCAATAAGTACACTCTGAAGCACGGGTGTCAAACTTGCAGCATCACGTTGTCATCACATGACATATCGTGACGTATTTTCCCTTCACAGAGCTGGGGAAGGTGTGGCCTACACGTGATACATTCGGTCCATTGACTGTCAGTTTAACACTCCTGCTCTAAAGTGACATACTCCATCATTTGCCAGCAACGCCCTTCTGGATTCTATATAGGATAAACAGGAAAAAGTTTGCAGGAAAGTCCAGAAAAGCTTTTAAAAAAAAATCACATCTTACTAACACAGATGCAGGAAAAAATGACAAAGTTTTCCCATAACATTTTAATCTCTGTCTACTTGTGCTTAATAGTGGCTTCTTTTTGTCTTTTTCAATGTCACTATTCAATGCAGAACATTTCTTACCTTCCTATTTCATTATTCTAACAATAACAAGAGCCAGTTTGGTGTACAATAGTGATTAAGGTACCAGGCTAGAAATTGGGAGCCTCTGAGTTCTAGTCCCACCTTAGGTATGAAATCCTTTGGATGTCCTCCAGCCAGTCATTCTCTCTCAACTCTAAGAAGAAGGGAAGGTCTCAAAAAAAAATCTCAACAAACACAATGGCTTTTTAACACATTACAACTATTAATTGATAAGGTACTTGTAATCTGTCTCGCATGTATCGCATCATATAACCATCTCCTCTTCCCCTCCCCTTTTTGCCCCAATTTAAATCTTGCCTCAGTCTAGCCACTCTAGGCAGATGAGGAAGTGAGATGCAGCTCAGAACAGCTATACATCTTTTAAACAAAATGTTGGAAAAGGTGCTACCAGACTCCTGATTTTTTGTCACTCTGAGTATGCTCACTTGTTTTCCCTTGCTAGAGATGGAAAGAACCAGAAAGAGTTGCTCCCTGCTTTTCTATGGGAAGATAAACTGGAAGACAAACCCTACCACCCTTGACCATTGAACATGCTGAAATCCAGAGAGAACCAATTTAACTTTCCTGATTTAACACCAGTATTGTTCCAAGATCTTCATGATCTTGGGCCCATCACTATTGTACAAACTAACCTTCCTCAGACAAAATCAAGAACTCGTGTTAAATTTCTTGAGCTCACACACAGCAGCCATCTTTGCAGTGTGCATTTATAACATCTAATCCTTACATAGTATGGTTGAGAAATGTGTTATTTTAGCCAGCATGAGGATGGTTTCTGTTGGTCCTGATAATGGCCTGAATGCAAAGCACTCCCTCTCAGGATATTTTCTGAAGCGTATAGATTAGAAGCGGCCAAGGCAACCTTCTTCTGAAATGGAAAGGCGCCAGAGTGGGTTGAAGCATGCTGAGTTTTCTTGTCTCAAACCAGAGGGATGGGATGCTATCTGGAAAAGACCCTTTTTATTGAAAAATATTCTATCACTTATAATTAGTTTATACCCTAATTAATCCAATCTTATAATTTATTTATTCACATTGTGATGCTAATATCTGGACCTTCCACTTGTGCAGAAGACAGCAAGACTTAATATCTTTACTATTACTACTAATAATGCATTTCTCTACTTGTAGTTTCTGAAGATTCTTCCCAAGTACATCATATTTACAATATTTATATATCGGCAGCTCATGAAATTAAATGAAAAATATACAACTGTACAACAAACATACATTGAGAGAAAATGTATACTTAAGGCCATAGCCAAGGAAACCTGGGTAGATGCATATGCAGAAATTAGCTAAAATTAAAAGTATAACCAGAGTTCAATACTTGGAAAAAATAAAAATTAATACTACTTAATTTTTGTGTTACCACTAAGAAAGCACTTTCGCTATTGTCCGTCTTGAAAGGAGATCTAGGTTTCATGTTGTTAAGTTAAAGACTCAATTATTCACATATGGACAATTCAGAAAATGAAGGGGAGTATTTCTCAAACTGACTCTTGCACATAGCTTGGGATATAATGCTTGTGCCTCACTAGCCTGTTGAATGACACAACAGACGCTGTAGCTTAAAGCACATGTTGGGTCACAATTTGGAAAGCAAAAGACCTTCAAACTCCATTCTTAATCTCCAGAAGTTCTGTATAGATTCCAGCTTCAGGACACTTACTTGAAAGAGCCAGGAGGAATCCAGTGCAACACAGAAAGGCAGTGAAGAGCTTCCAGGTTTTCACCTCCATAGCTAAAAAGAAATGGAAAGAAGCAGCTCATTGACTAAGAAATGTGTCCTTCAAAGATTACGCTAGAATAAATCACCAGGAACAACTGCAATGGTGAAGACCAAACTCAGTGTCAACCTCTGACTCCAGGACCCAAGAGTCCATTCCTATAGCTTAGGGGTGCCCTGCCTGTCCACACCTTTTGGCACGTAGAGAAGTATTTGAACTCTTCCTTGACATGCTTCCTTGAAAACATGAATGCAAGATAACCCGTCCTGAATGTTCCCCTATATTCCAAAATGCCAATGAAATATTTTAGTTCTGTGTTTCTTTTCCATTTGTTCTTCTTTTGCTGATATCGGGTTGGGCTTTTGTTCTTCCAGGTAATTTTTCCTTGCGAGCTGAAGACTTGCTGCAAGTCTTGGAACAATTTTAATCTGTTGCTGTTGCTGGTTTTATTCGTCAGTTTAAAAGTTCTGGTTTCTTCTTCATGTGCTTCAGTGCTGTAATGTTTGAATGTGGATTTTTTGCTTTTTGCTTTTTTTATGTGTGCTTCTTATGCCATGAAATGTGTAAAGTATGTAAAAAAAAGGGGGGGTTTCCTTATATTTTGTGATTTCTATTTTTACTCTTTTTAACTGTTTTACAATTTGCTAGGAGTTTTTTCCCCTCTGCCTCTGCTCCAAGTGCGTCTTGGGTTTTATTACATCCTCTAGAGTTGCTTTTTTTTCTTACACATTTCTCCTTTTTCTTCTTTGCTTTGCAACAAGAAATTCATGACAATTTTATGTTCTCTTCATCAAAGCCTTCTAAAGTGAAGGAAAAAACAAGCCTGCTCTAAGCATCTTTCTACTTTGCTCCCATAGTCTATTTTCCACCCCTTTGCCAGCTTAGATCCATTTGACTGATTCTCTGTGAAATGAAGGTTTTGGTGTCCTCCCCATATTGAGATGATTAAGAGATTCAGGAGGTTTTATCACTTACCTGCATTGGTGGAAGAAGTGGCTTAAAGGAGGAAGAGCACCTGAAGAAGACAAAATAGTCTCCGTGTGGTTAGTGCCGTTGTCTTGCTACAAGCCTTCTCCAGTCAGTGATCCAGGAGGTTTCTGTTGCTAGTAGTAGTAAAAGTCAGGCAGGCAAAACTTCTTCCTGTTAGGAAAAGATAAGGCCCCCAGCTTTTGAGTTCCTAGAAAGACAACTCTGAAGGAGAAGCTCTTTGCATTAATAACAAATAGTGGGTGTTAACCAACCAGTGTTAACACTATTAATAACACATATTTTATTATTCATTACATATTTTGTAGCTGCAGCACTTTTTGGGGAGTAAGCCCCATTGAACAGAAAGGCATTTCCTTTCAAGTATTGGCAGGTCTATCTCTTCCATGGAAATCAATAACATTTTTTCAAGGGGAGGGGAGGAAGGGATATGCACTACAGCCTCCAAAGTCTCTGTAGCTCATTCAAGAGTTATGTCTGTCAGTTGGTATTATTTGCCCTCAGCCAAAGGTGCTCAGTCCAGTCCCTCTTTGCAGTGGCAGAAGTCTGGATCTCATAACCAACAGTTTCAGTTATGCTCAAATTGTGGAAGGAAAGTTAAATTCACCACTCGCTGTGCTACAAAGGCAATCAGAAAGTGCATTCTAATGTAAAGTAAATTGATTTCTGGAAATTTGTTTTCTTGTAAGATACCAGAAAACTCCAAAGTGGCTACAAAGTACAAACAAGCCTAGAATTCAATAAGATTATGACAATTTTGGGATTAAAAAGGCACAGACAGGATATTTAAGATGATAATTGCTGAATAAAGAAGAGAACAGAAGGCATAATTGTATTTTTTTTCTAACTTCTTTCTTTATGCTTTTTCTCATTGCAACTTTTGTTTATTCATTTTTACAATATTGAAAAATTCTAATACATACATACATACATACATACATACATACATACATACATACCATATGACAATAAAGTATTGTAGCAACAATTTATGGAGGTTTCCCAATACAGCTGATCTGACCCCACTGATTTGTTAAGATGGCTGATGAAGACTAAATCAAACCAAACAAACTTCTCTTTCCAATGTTCTTCTGGTTCATCGTTTGTTTGTTTTATGTCCCACATTTATTATTTTTATAAGTAACTCAAGGCAGCAAACATACCAAATACTCCTTCCTCCTTTTATTTTTTCCACAACAACAATCCTGTGAAGTGAGTTGGGCTGAGAAAGAATAACTGGCTCAAAGTTACTCAGTTGGTTTTCATGCCTAAGGAGGGACTAGAACTCACAGTCTCCTGGTTTCTAGGCCAGCACCTTAATCACCTCACCAAACTATAAAGGAATTCTCAGAACCTGAAAAATAGGATGGTTGTTTGCCAAACAGCACAAGTTTGGAAGATCTCCACATTTCTCCTTGATCATGAAATCAAGGTTCCTTGATTTCATGCCAGCTCCTCACTGCCATCAAGAAATTGATAACATCATCATCATCATCATCATCATCATCATCATCATCATCAGGGTCAAGGAATCCCTCTCCTAACAAACTGAGATATAAAGCGAATTCAGATAGTCTCAAATTATGATCACAATTGAACCCAAAATTTCTATTGTTAAATGAGACATTTGTTAAGTGAGGTTTGCCACATTTTATGATTTTTCTTGCCACAATTGTTAAGTGATTGATAAATTAGTAACCTAGTTACTACAACAGTTGATAAATTAGCAAGCCAGTTTTTAAGTGAATCTGGCTTCCCCATTGACTTTGCTTGTCAAAAGGTCACAAAAGGCAATCACATGACCCTGGGACACTATATGCTAGTACCAAAGGAGGGCTGAAAGCACCCAAATGTATAAACATTTGGGAAAGGAAGGCAAAAGAGAGTGAATAAGTGGGAAAGGAACAATCCCTAAGATGAAAAGGCAGGTATTGGTAGACCCAACCTCACCAGAGCTAATCGGTGAAGTTTGCCTTCCCTGCATGGGTGAGAAGGGGAAGAAGCAGTGATCAATTGAATCATGAGATGCCAGGAGTCCAGACTGAGCATCATTTTAGATCCTTTGCCAGGTTTTGCTGTAATCTGGAAAAGAATTTCCAAAACTGGCTGGAGAAACAATCAAGAGAAATGAGAGACAAGCAACTTGCGCTGCAGGATGGAACTGCCTTCTGTGAGACTTCCTTGGCAGTGAGCAGCTCTGGTGACTGGACATTTATCTTTTAAGCCTTCCTCTCTTGCTCTGGTCAAATTTAATTGTCACCTGTACAGTCCTCAGAATTTCAGATATAGCTGTGACTTCCCAAATCCTTCAAGATTTGTAGGTCATTGTGAGCATGTTGAGGTTTACATACCCTCCTTCCATGAATGAAACCTGCTATATTTAACCCCTGCATACATGGGACAGCCTGGCCTTGGCTTCTCTTAGCTGAAGACAACAAGAAAAATTGTTTATTTATACACATAACCTGCAAGGGGTTATATACATATTATACATATACATATATGATATAGAATTAGATTCTTTGAGATTTAGTGTACTATTCCACACAAGGGAAAAAATACTACCATTTATTGCATTCTCCCCAAACAGCAATATTATGTTCACTTAAAAGAAAGGATTGTTATTCGAAAATCTTCAGCATTAATTTCTATTAATGTAATAGAAATTAAATTAAAAGAGGTAAAAATACAGCATGCCGGTGCAGGCTTTGACAGCTACCATCGATTTTAATATTTCCAGCCTTGCCTATAACTTTGATCCCTTTTTATTTAGCTCACAGTTGGGTGTTTTTACTTTAAACACAGTTGGGGTTTTTAAATACAGGTACTCCTTGACTTAAATACAGGTATTCCTTGACTTAAATACAGGTATTCCTTGACTGAACAGTTCATTTAGTGACCGTTCGAAGTTAGAATGGCACTGAAAAAAGTGACTTATGAACATTTTTTACACTTATGACCATTGCAGCATCCTCATGGTCTCGGGATTTACATTTGGATGCTTGGCAACTGATTCATACTTATGACGGTTGCTATGTCCCAGGGCCATGTGTTCTCTATTTGCAACTTTCTAATAAGCAAAGTCAACGGGGAAGCCAGATTCACTTAAGAATGGTGTTACTAATTTAACAACTGCAATGATTCACTTAACAAATGTGGCAAGGAAAGTTGTAAAATGGGACAAAATTCATTTAAACAAATTTCTCACTTAGCAACATAAATTCTTGGCTCAATTGTGTTAGTAAGTCAAGGACTACCTGCACTATCTTATGAAAGAATACAGAGCTTCCCATATTTCTCCAGGTCCAATGGATTACCTCTAGATTCATATTAGATCCCCACATCGCCCCCTTCCTGCTCCCAATTTGGGGCTAAGTTTACATTTTTTTCTTTTCCTTTTTTTTTGTCTGCCCCTCCCCCCCCAACAGTAGCATAAAATTTCTTTCTTGGTCTTGCTGAAATGTGTCTGTTTTCATAAACACTTTGCTGCCATCTCATGTTCATCTGAATTTTTTCACTCCTGCTACTGTAGCCTTATCCAAATTCAGTCAAGTAGCTATTAAACTGTTTTTAATTTTCCCCATCATTTTAAATTCAGGTACAGTCCTGCTATTCAACAGTAGATGGCGCTGGCAGATTTTAAAATAAGATAGCAATCCAGAAGAAAATTAGTTTTACTCTGTTTTATGTTGATTTCAAAAAGGAAACAAGTTTATGAGTAAAATTAAATGTCTTAACTCATCCTGGCATTAAAGTATGTCACACCCAAAGAGTTCTTTACTTACTGTCATGCAAATGAATGAAGCTAGATCAGGGTCCCGCACTTATTCTAGAGAAGAAAGGGAATTGAGGAGAATTGAAATTTATATAATTATTACGCCATGTGTGGCCTTTCCTGGATCAGGAGTCCCTGCGCTCAGTCATTCAGGCCTTAGTCATCTCTCATCCGAACTACTGCAATGCGCTCTACCTGGGGTTACTTTTGGCCCTTGTAACACCACTGCTCCATGAGCTGCATTGGCTTCCAATCTGCTTCCGGGTGCAATTCAATGTGTTCTAATCATGAAGAAAGTTAGTGTTGGAAGAAACATCCTTCTAGGTTCTGTACCAAGTGGGGAAAAAGACACTGGAAACATGGAGACTACTTGGAAAGATGGTTTAATGGTGGACAGGATCACATGGCTTGAGTTCCTGAACAGAAAAGGGGCAGATACAGTAAATCCTCGGGTTTTTATGCTCTCTCTGGCTCTGCATTTCTTGGGGCCCCAAATGAGTATTCTGATTGGTTGTCAGACTCCCAGGGGCTGGGGGTCTTAGCTAGCCTTGCTGGTTGATGGTCACATGTGCTTCCCAGGTCACATATGGTGAGTTTTGGTTGCTAGATGGGGCCCATTGTGTTAGTTTCTGTTGCTATTGTGTTGCAAATGTCCTTTGACAAAGGATTGGGTTTCTGCCTCTGGCCCATTGACAAAGGGTGGGGGGGGGGCAGGAAGGTGGGAGCTGCTTTGTCTGTAAAATATGCTTCTCCATTTCTCATCCAGGGAAATATAATATTCTACCTTTTTCATATTTCCTAAAATATTTCACTCTTCCAGGAAAGGGGTGGGTGCTAACTTCCTACATTAGCAACCGCCCCCCGCCCTTAGAAGAATGAAATATTTTAGGAAATATTAAAAAGGCAGAATATTATATTTCCCTGGATGAGAAAAGGAGAAACATGTTCTTGGAAAGCAGTCCCCACCTTTGTTAATAGCCTCAGTAAGACTGAGCCATCTTATCTACAAAACAAAAGGCCTCCAGCTCCAGGGTGATGGGATTAAGACATGACCCTCCAGGACATAATAGAATTAGCCCTCTACCCATCTAGCAGCAGAGTTGGCCACATGGCACCTGGGGATATTACATCACCCAGCACAGTTCAGCCAGGCTTATCTCAGACAAACTCCTAGGATTTGCACATAACCAAGAGCAACCAATAGGATACATTTCTTGCACAGGAACATGAAGCTCTAGGGCAAGGCCCAAGAGAGGCTATAAATAACACTCACTCTTCACTCCATGTGTTCAACTGCACCAGGACCATGTGCTTAATGGTTCTGCTCCATTAAACCATCCTTCCAAGCAGCCTCCATGTGTCTTTCTCCCCA